TAAAATCAGCTCATCCATCCTGTGGCTTTCACTAATTAAAGTCAGGAAAACAATGCCCTTCTCACCTCCGAGCATTATTGCTGTTAATAATTATAAGCTCTTGATTCCTTAGCACATTCTAATCCATTTTAAATCTATTATTCCACATTTGGTGACATGCAGCTTTAAATCTTCTCAAGAATGCTTGTGTTCTAAGTATAAAACAAAATTTCTTGGAAATCTTTCTTACGCAATCCTTCCCTCACTTGCATACCTGTTTTAAGTACAGTATTACCTGTAATACTATAATGTGTAGTATTCATTAACCAAAATGAACTTGAGGTCACTTTAACTTTGCTTTACTTCTGAGGCCAGCTGTCCAGTGGATTTGAGCCTTGGCCAGGAGCCCCTGCACTGTAGAAGGCACACTGGGTGTTGATGGCAGATTGTAGGTTCCAGGAATTTAGGTACACATTACATTGTGTATTGACATTCTATGGAAACATGCCAATATCCTTGTTAGATTTCTAGTTTGGTTTGGAAAAATGGTTTTCTTAACCTTAAATAAATAAAACTAAAGTTAGGGTTATGCACTATAACAGTAATCCAATGAAAGTAGAGGAAAAATTATTTGGGGGGAAAAACAACATACACAAAAAAATCCCTGAACAAATCCTGGTCGGTGCAGTTCTCCCAAAAGGGGGGAAAACCATTTTCTCAGCCAGATGATTGATTCTGATGTTATTTTAGAAACTGTGGTCTGTTGGAGTGGAGGTAGGAAGGGGAGAAGATTCACAGAAGAGATTTTTATTTTAACTATTTTTACTTATTCTACTAAACTAGCACTACAGTGTTGTCATGTAAATTTAACTTTCTTGGGTTTGATTCAGTCAATCTGTATGCCATCTGAGAAGTGTATGGCTCTCCTGTTCCCAGTGGAGGGGCCTCTGTAGGTGTATGTACCCCCTTTGCCTGGGGTAGGATGCACCAGGTTTGTAAATAGATTCATCAGGTCTCGATCCCTCTGGAAAGCTGGGTATGCGACACATGTGTGCATGGCACCACTTCTTCCCACTGACTGCGAGATGAGAGTTCTGTGCTATTTTTATTAACCTTCTTTCTGGCCTTTGTTATTAGGTGGTCAGTTAGCTTGTGGACCGATTCTTTCTTGAAATGTGAGTCTGAACATTAAGACTTGCATTTCTTTGGAAAATGCAGCATCTCTGAAAACCCTGAGTTGCACTGGCCTTTCCTGTGCCCTGGATCTTAGAGCAGCTGGCAGTGGGCTCCCTGCCATTCTTCCTTGAGGGGCGGAGGGTGAATGGAGATGAGCAGTCACTTCAGTGACAGGCAGGGCAGCAAAACCAAGCCCTGGGGCTCTGGTGGTGGTTTCCTCCTGCCATGGGTAAGTCGCCTCCTGGCCTGACCAGCCCCAAGTACTCGTTAGAAATGGGTGGGTTTTTGCTAGAGGCTGTTTCATTTGTTTTTGTGCTGCTTAAACACATCACGCCCCTTGTGTCCATAATTCTCTTTATCAAAGACTTTTTCCTAAACAAAGTTATTTCAGAACTCGTTTTAGGAAAGGTTTTTTTTTTGTTGTTGTTGTTGTTTTTTACCTGAAATATGAGGAGTTAATACGAGAGCAGCTAACAATTCGCTAAGCTTAGAATATTAGAGAATGAAACTGTCGGCAACCCACCTTTTAATCATCTATGTGAGTTACTTGGGAGCTGCTTCCAGGTCTTTGCAGTGAAGGTAAAGTGGATGGTGCATCTTAAGAACTGGTGTAGCTGCTTTATAATCAGAACATAGAACATGAGGCTGCAGCCCGGCAGCGGCATTGGTTTTCACGGGAGGGAGACTCGTTAAGTCCTGACGGAGCAGGCCGGCAGTGAGGACTGCTTTACCACTCACCCAGCCCAAGTGAAATAAGCCGTCTGACCAGCAGCCACTTCCCCAGCATCTTCTGCCCTGAATTGCCAACCCTCTAGTCATCGTCTGGGTGTTTCCTAGAATTATCTTGGGGTCGCCTTGTGTGAGATAATGTGTGTCAGACTTCCATGAGGACCGACCAGCTAATGGGTGTGTAGTTTTAGGTTAGACCAGATTACCCACCACTGTCGTTCTTACCTTCTGCAGTGTTACTGTGCCTACTTCTCAGAAGTCACCATCGAAACCAGGAATATATATTTCACTAGTTTGAAAAATGAGTCAGATTCCAGGTAGTCAGCCTGCCGCAGGTCTGCAGCATCAGCATTTTCTTTCCATTGTCAGGCTCTGGAAACTAGTGTGACCGCAGGGTCCATTGCCATTTCGTCCGTCGTAGGGAAACGGGAGCACTGGCGACTGACATGCCTGGGTGCAGGGAATGCAAGTTCATTACTGGGAAGCATGTGTGTCGAGGTTCAGATACATGTAGCTCGCAGCTCTGCGTAGTATTGCAAAGGCATATAGAAGCTTAATTCATGTTAGTTTTAGCAACTGTATTGAAAGCAGGTGTACGCATGCTTCAAAAAAAATGCCAGGGGTGAAGAGCCAGACATTTTGTCATATTCATTTGCCTTCTGAGAGAATGACACTGGTCACAGGGGCTCCCGGACATTCTCATTTGAAACAGCCGAGAGCCTTCAAAAGAAGAGAAAAACCTGCCGGTTGTGAGGGGTTTGTGATGTCACTGTGGACGTTGTGATTAACAGTCAGCAGTCTCAGTTGCCAGATCCAACGTCTAGCCCACGCTGGTATTCTTGAGATGTTTAAAAGACCGTGTTAGTTAGGTGATTAGTGTTTTATTTCAGTTCACCAACCAACCGTAGACAATTCTCTTCCTGTGGTTTCCAGGCGGCTCAGACAGGCAGCTGGCTATTGTTTCCACGCTAGCCTCGAAGCAGCACTATTAATATTTTATTTAATATTAGCCCTTTCAATATGTGATAAATGTACTTGGGGGCCTTTCGTTCATTGTAATTGTACTGTAGGCTTTGAAACAACAACAAACTCTTCTATTCTTGGAAGCACACTGTCTTGCCAGGAGAGCTCTGTGCTTCTTAGCTTTGGTTCCTTGTTTGGTGGATATTAATGATCCAAGGTGGTCGAGTTGCCTCATGTCCTGAGATGGAAAGCGCTTCACCTGGGATTTAGGAGCTTGCCGAGGCTCCTTTAAATTCTAGCCTCTCTTCCACCTGCTAACTTGTCCATCTCCTGTCTTATGAAAAATTCATTGCTGATTATGTGATCCTATTATAGAAAATTTAGAAAATAGAGGAGAAAAGGCTATGGCAATAATCTTGCAATATTTTCTTCATCTTTTTTTCTCTGTATATTTTCATTGGCTCTGTGTATATGCGTGTGTGTGTGTGTGTGTGTGTGTGTGTGTGGACTGTATGGGCTGTGAGTGACAGAAACCTAGTTCCAACTAGGTTGAGCAAAGAGGGGAATTAATTGTAAGGATTGGGTGTCTCTGAGCCCAAAGACAGGGACTTGGCGAGGCCTGAGGATTGGTGAAAGTGGGCCCCACCCTCCCAGGCTTTCAGCTTTCTTCTTCTCCGGCTTCTTTCTCTGTTTCTGCCTTTGTCTTTCTCTCATCCAGTTGTTTTTCACATGGAGGAAAACATATTCAATGAAATCTCCCAAGTTTAATTTCTTACCATTTCATCTATCCAGAGAGTTCAACCCAATTCTTGTGTGATCACAAGACCTAGCATGCAAAAGGGCAGTTCCTGGGGTAACTGTTTGATAGGTGGAGGGGGCTCAGCAGCGATTTCTATCTCTTGGCCCCCAGGCATGCTTGGGTCTTTTCTTTTCATTTATTCAGTTCCCCAACTGCCCCTACCAACATAATCCTGCCATCCCACATCAAGCTGCAAACCCATCCCCTTTCCAATGGGAGGCAGCCCTGGGTCTTGTTCAGCTGCAGCCTCGGTGGTCTTTGTAGGGCCACTGTTCTCCAGGCCAGATGCTCCGGGCAACGTGCACGATTCTGCTTCAGGTGTGAGCAGGTCTAGGTGAAGCTTGACCTCATCTATCCCCTGTGGCCTAAAATAATTTTAACTACACCAAACAGCTGGTGTGCGTAGCCTCTTGATTCCAGCTGGGGCAGGCATCAACCCTGAGGCTTGTTTTTCTAGCCCAGTGGTCGGTAAACTGCGGCTCGCAAGCCACGTGCGGCTCTTTGGCCCCTTGAGTGTGGCCACGAAGTTGCAATCGCACTGTAGGTGCGCCCCCGCACGTGGTATTTTGTGGAAGAGCCACACTCAAGGGGCCGCAGTTTGCCGACCACTTTCTAGCCAATCTAACTAAAACTGATTTCCGAGTTCCAAAGGTGGAATTAGAAGCAGACCCTTCCTCCTCGGGTTTAAGGCTTTACCCGGAGAATAGGCTCAGCAGGAGCGATAAGGCTGGCTGTGATTTCTCCCATCCAGGTGAGTGGCCTTGGCTCTGGACAAAATAAAGGGGGAACTTCTCCCCCTCCAGGCCAGGCACAAAGGAGGTGAGATGAGCTCTAGGTCCTGGCAGCTGTGTCGCCCCCTTGAAAAGGAATGCAGGGGCTGGAGTGTTTGTCCTGCCACCTCAGACTGTCCCGGAGAGAGCCACTTGGCTTTCCCTTTTAAGGGATTAACTGGGCATCATCCTGGCTCTTACCAAGAATGACCAGGTATTTGAGGGTCAGACTCCCATGCACAGGGGAGTAATCCCCCGAGCTTTTAGAGTTCATGCTAAAAGCCAGCCATATTTTTAAAATAACGTTTGTGCCAAAATTCAAACTGTTTCAGTATAAACAAGTTGGCCTGTTTTTAATTCAACAGCTACAGGAACCAGTTAATGTGCAGGACAATATAGAGACAAAAGAAGAGACAAGCTCATTACAAGATGGCATTGCCGAATGGGCCCATATCGCAAAAGCATGTTCCTAGGAAACCTTCCAGCTATCACCTGCACATCACACACACACACACACACACACACACACACACACACACACACGGCTGCTCCCATGGAATCTGTGTGGATGAGGGTATGTACAATTTCTAGCAAAGCTAGAGGACAGGCAGACAAAAAGAACCTGTCCAGTATAATTATAACCACAGTTACATTAACTTTTGGATTCAGCCCAGCCAGTGTGGCTCAGTGGTTGAGCATCAACCCATTTCCGGTCAGGGCTTGCAGGTTTGATACCCGGTAGGTATTCTCATTATTGATGATTTTCTCTCTTCCTCTCCCTTTATCTGAAATCAATAAAAATGTTTTTTTTAAACATTTTTAGATTCTTTATTTTTCATGTGACAATGAATATAAGCATTTTTCTGTATTGTTGTAGCTTTTCCACATGCTGTTTTAATGATTACATAATGCTTCATTGTGGGTCATAATTTATTTCAGCCATTTAGATATTATTGGAAATTCAGACCTTTCTAGGTTGGGTTTTTTGTTTTGTTTTTTTGTATTTATAAAATGGGATATAATGAGTATCATTGTGCACAGAGCTTTTCCCATATCTGGAATTATTTCTTAAGGATATAGACATGGAATTACAGGACCAAAAATATGAGCACGTTTATACTTTCCAGAAAGACTGCACTAACCATTTTTATCACCACCAACAAGTGAATTTCACTACCTTTGGCTAGTTTCTTTAAAAAAAATTTTTTTTAATTCATTGAGCATAAAATGTGCATTTTAATTTAAATTGTATTTTGAGTATAAGTGAGGAGTAATTTGGGTTATGTTTTTTATGCATTTTTGATAACATGTCTCTTGAAATCTTGGTGCTTTATTACTACATAAACTCATTATAGAATGGGAGCTGTTTTCCTTATTTTGCTTTAAACATTTCCCCCTAATTCTTTGCCCTGTAAAATTTCATAAGTGTGTATGGGTGTGTGTGGGTGTGTTGGCATTCTTCTTTATCAGTCTTGCAAGATGGCCAAGTTTTAGAAAGTGAAATATAACTAAGAGAAGGAAGTCAGTTAAAAAGCTGAGCGTACTTTCTACCTCAGGGATTATTTCAAAATCCCTGTCCTTGTCATGTTGGGTCATAAGCCAGTCCCTCTGCAGGAAGGATTGTCACTTAGAATAGGTGACCTGGGTCCTAGTTCTGACTCAGCTGTTGTCCAGACAGGTGCCCTTGATGGGAACCTAGGCCTCCATCCTCAGTTTCCTCATCTCTAAGCTGGTGGGTTTTAGAAACTTTCAGGGGCGGAGGTCTCTGGTGGTACATGCCCCAGGTGAAGAATCATGTTGACCAGGAAGGTTCTTCTCCATCTCTTTGCAGATTTTTGGAAGTTCCAGCACAGTGACGCTTCCTGAAACCTTGCTGTTTGTGTCAACCCTGGATGGAAGTTTGCACGCTGTCAGCAAGAGGACAGGCTCGATCAAATGGACTTTAAAAGAAGGTAATTTGGATTTGGTCTTTGGGTGACATGTTCAATGTGCTCTGCTGCTTCCAGGAAACATACTCCAGAAAAAGAGAAAAACAGTTATATGTTATTTAATAAAATAAAAAGGGATAATGGAGTCAAGGAGAGGATAGGGCTCAAAGGTATGTTTACAGCTTGGGTTGTGATTATCTGCTAAGTACATCAGTTGAAGAGGCACTGGTGGGCTGTGTGTTTTTTGTTTTGTTTGCTTCTGCCCAGATTTCATGTTTAAAGAGCTCTAGGCTTTTCTATTAATAGTTCTGGCTTGGTCTTTACAAAACACATGCCGCGTTAAATTTTTTAAGTTCTAATAATTAAAATCTTGTAATCATAATTACAAGAAGGTATCTTCTCTAACCGCAAATGACTCATTTGCTTTTATAGAGGCTGGGATAATTGAGGGCTGTAAGATTTGACATTCATCCAAGTTGGCCACTTGATTGGTTCTCTACATGGAGGGAAGTAAAAGACCGGACCTGTTTCTCCTTTCGTAATCTCCCACAGTTTATGGTCTTGTCTTCCTGGTGATAGTGGAGTCCTACCGCTGGGAAACTGTATTCGATTTCCCATGCAGTCTTCCCAGGTAAAGCCATGCAAATCCCGGGATTTGGGGCTTTCCGTGTCATCTCTGTTATTCTGTCCAGTAATGATCCTCACTTGGCCCGAGATGAGGGCCTGACCAGCGTGTTCTCTTCCGTCACTAATCCGTGACTCATTATTGTCATGAGCACAGCAAGTGTTTTTCCTTCCTTAATAAAATGTCCCCAAATAGTATTTTAGATGGGAAAACAGGGGCCTGTGTCAGAGGCCACACGTCATCTTGTCAGTACAGCAGCAAAACTAATTACCATCCATAGAGGATGGCAGCTGAGGCACTACAGACTGCCCTGCCGCACCTGGTGGGGTCCTGCTTGGATCAGCAGGGGCTTTAAGCAACAGAAAGGACCAGCTCTCGGAAGTCGGTGGCCACAAGAAGATGGTAGAGCTGGGTTTAGGCATTGCATTACAGGATGTTATCTGTACCGTCTCTCATTCCTGTTAAGTCTTTTACTGCTTAAAAAAAAAAAAAATCAGAGTTGTTGAAATTTCACAATTTCAGATTTTGTCCAAAGATGGAAATCAACAAGGTGCAGAAGGATTGCGATAAGATTTTTACTCTTGTGTTAAGGCTGGTCCCTTAGTGGCAGTATTCCTAGGCAGGACATTTTTGCCTCCAGGACACTTCATTCTTCTGCTCTGCTTTTTCCTGTATTATTTTAAATTGATCTTCTCCAAGTCTTACTTTCTAGACGTAGCCTCGCTGTATCGGGCACAACGGTGTCCTGCCTTGTTTGTTACCTAGCCAAACATAAGAATTAGTCTGTTCTCTCCTGTAGTTTAGAGCTTAAAGACTTTGCCCCTTTTTACTTAATTTAACGTGTGTTTACAGAACCTGGTCTGTGAAAGATACTCAGTGGGCCCAAAGAAGAAAAAGATAGCACTGGCCCTCAGGGAGCCCACAGTCTGGCAGGGAGAACTTCCGCAACAAGCGTGTTGTGACCGCTTCACAGAGGTCCTAGGAACTGCCGGAGGGAGGGGCCAGGAAAGGCGTCATGAAGCTGGGATGTTGGAGCTGAACCTTGGTGGGTAGATTGGATTCAGTCCGGAGAAGCGAGGCCTGGGGAGAAGGAAAGGAGGTAGCACGTCTAGGCAGAGTAGGGAGGAGGTAAAAGGCACTTAAAGGAAGAATTAGAGAAATCTGATTAAGGTCTAATAATCTAAATATTAGACCCTCAATATTTGGTCCCTGCAAGTTTAAACAGGGACAGCCCCACTGAGTAAGAGCTCAAGGAAGGAAGGACCAAAGATCCTCGAGCTCAAGGAACCCAACCATGCCAACACCGGGTCTTCGCCTTCTAGCCTGAAGAACTGTGAGAAATAAATACCAGGCTACAGTATTTTGTTGCGGCGGCCCCAGCTGACTAAAACACCCAGCCTCCGCTGTACGGGATCAGCAGGTGCTGTGTTGAGACTGAACGGATGGGGCCAAGAGGAAGCAGGAGACCAGGTGGAGACTACTGCCCCAGTCCAGGCAAGGAAGGCCGTGGGCTTGGGCCTGCACAGTTGTGGGCAAAGTCAAATGGAAAAACCTTGCTGATGCAAACAGACACCTTTAACTCATCCAACTGGGGTTCTGCAGAATATCTACCTGTTACTCCATTTCATGGTTTCCTAACTGTTTACTTATTTCAGGGGCCAACAAGCTGGGAGTGTTGTTTTTTTTCTTTCCACAGAGTGGTTTTGGCAGGTGTTTTTGTTCCTCACCCAAACACGTGTTGCTGTTCCCAGAAGTGGAGATTTCTTACACCACCGTGGCAGACTGCACCTAGTGCAGAAAAAGAGTTTTATTTGCTTTCCGACACTGAGTTGAGTTTGACACTGTACATTAGCTGTGATCTGTCTAAGCTGTGATTTTTGTAATGGTAGTACCTTCTGCTGTCTGTCTGTCTCTGAAATATCACCAGTGCAGATGGTTGAGGATGTTTTATTTCTGCACTTTCTGCCCAAATGCAAACAGAGAATATTGTCCTCATGCTTTCTGTTGGATTAGTTTTACAAAGCTCGCTTCGGCCTGCTGGGGTCCAAAGGACTTTCTCTGGTATTGCCAGCTCTGGTTTACGGCTTCTTACACTCAATTTGAAATACTAGTTTACCGATTTTTGACACTCAGATCTTCATCAAATTGCACTTAACTCTTTAGCAACCCTACTCCCATGCCTTCCATGGCACGGAGAACTGGATCTAATTTAGAACCACCCTTTATTAATTATAAAAATGTGCTAACTGTGCAACATGGCTGCTTTCCCAACCAGATGGGCCCGGACTCCTGAGATGTCCCTTGAATGGTTAATATTGGGGATTCTTATGAGGGAGGGATCAGAACTAAATCGGTTATTTGAAATTTGAAGAAAATCTTCCCACAGGAGTTTCCCTTTCTTACCGTGTGCCTCTTGCTATGGTTTCTCCCGGTGCTGACAGCACGGCCCACCCAGTCTGGGAAATAGAGTGATGCTCTGCTACTCGGTCACCGAGTCCTGTCACTCAGGCTGAAGAAGTGTCTCCCAAATCTGACTCCCCCTCCCCATCCCCCTTGCTGGTGCCTTAGCCAGGCTCTCTATTCATTTCCCAGATGAATGCGGCAGCTTCCTGACTGTGGTCCCTGCACCTGTCTTATCTTCCCATTCACCCATCACACTGCTGTCAGACGTGTCCCCTGAAAAGACTAATTGACCACACCACACCCCTGCTGAAATACTGCTAGCAGTGCTACTCCAGGTGTGGTCTGCCCTCCTGCGTTACCTGTCCATGAGGAAAGAAGTACAACGGGCGATAAGCATCACCCATGGTGTGATCCTTCCCTGATTAGTTTGGGGAGCACTGGCCCACAGACAGTCAAGACCGAGCTCCTCAGTATGCATGCAAGGCCCTTCTGAATCCGCTCTTGCCCACCTCTCCAGCCTCAACTCCCCTTTTCCCCCCAGAGGTGCGCCTTGTTGCAGCCACAGCTCCTCTCCAGGCCTCGGAGACATTGGGCCTTGGCTTCTGCTCCCTCCCCTCCAGCAGCCTGCACTGCTGGGCAGGCTCCTGTTCATCCCAGGTTACTTGCTTGTTTCCTCAAGCAGGGTGAGCCCTTTCCTCCATTGGGTGTTGGAGGCACTTCCTGCTGGTGGTGCGAATTTTTGTTTACATTTGTCTTCCTGCTGAATTTCTAACTCCTTGAAGGTTGGGGCCTCTAAACAGCCAGGGATGCTCAGGAAATGTCGGAGGCACCTGAGGCCCACTGGATTTCCAGAACCCTTCTGACTAGACGTCCTTCAGGAGCCCTGAAAAGCAGATGAGACTTGACTTGGCCTCCTCAGGATACTCGCCTGCCACTCGTGCCATCGTCGCATTAGTTTCCAGTTCCAGTTTTTGATCTGAGTTTCACACAGCTTTTGCGGCTTCTGCAGGAGGCTTTCTGTCCTCCTTTAGGCTGTGTGCCTCTGGAAGTGTCCGACTTCTGCCTGCAGAGGCGTGATGGAAACGTGAGAAGGGAAGTTGTGGGAAGGGTTAATAGCCCTAATCTCTTTTCTCCTAAGAACCTTTCTAGGCTTCAGATATGCATCACCACCTTTCTACTTTATCGGCTAAGCACAAGAAAAGTGTTTCTTTGTTCTCCATTGTCTTGGAGGACTGAAAATTAAGTTTCACAAGAAGGGCCATGAGAGGGCCTGTTTCTGCTTTTGAGCATCTTGGAAACGTGTCTCCTGTATTTTACTCTGTCATGGAAGATTCTAAACATAAACAGACATAGAGATGATTATATAATGAACGCTCATGTATCTGTCACTCAGCTTCAGCCGTCACCAGCTGGTGTCCAGTCTCCTCTGTACCCGCTCACAGCCTCCCTCACGCTCGGGACTGGCTTCGGAGCAGCACGTCTCCCATTGTAGAGATACCTCTCAGCCCGCAGCCACCACACGTAGCATAGGTTTCAACCCCAGTGGGTAGTCTTTGCTGCATTACTTGGTATGTATCAGAGCACAGTTGTAAATGTTGAAGTGCAGGAGTAAAATTCCCTTTTTTATTGGCTGTGACTACTTAGTTATCCTTTTGTTCATCTTGGGATGCCGTGCGAGGTTTGCTGGCACTCCCATCACTCAAGAATGAATTCTGTGAAATAGGACATGCTGAGAGACATTTGGTCATAAGTCATAGTATTGAATTGCCTTATCCTCCCCCTTAAATTTCCTTCACAAGTGATTGTACCATTCAGTGTGCGTTTTTAGGTCTGACTGACTCCTGCCAAGGTGATGGTGAATAAGAGCCTAGTAGAAGTCAGCTGCCTTCACTATGGGCGGGTTTTTAGGTTACTTTGGTATCTCCCCACGATCACCTTCATCACACATGACATTGCATGACTTGCAGAGGTTACCTGTAAGGAAACCTGTTACATCCTTTCTCAGTTCTGATGAGATTTGGATTTTGAGACGCTTTTGATTAGGTGTCTATTTTAAAATGTTCTCATGTGAGCTGAATTTTGAGAAATGTTTTAAGACTTTCTTCCCCACAGTTTGGATCTAACAACTGAATACGAGTGAAGAGTGTAGATTCCGGAAGTACTTTCCTCTGGAGGGAGCAATGAGCTGCCACTGGGGAGAAGTAGTCCCTAATCGCCTCACCTGAGCACGAAAAACATATTTGGGAGACTTGAGTTTTGAGTTAAGGGAGGGTGAATGACCTTGTTTCTACCAATAATTTTTATAAGGAAACAGTGTTAGAACCTCAAGCATTTTTCATGAGGAAATGGCATTTGTCTACTGCAGTCAGACTAGCCGATCTAGTTTGATCTCGTTTCACCGTTGGCTAGGATTAAAATCGTGCGCCCTCTAACTCATTCCTTTCTTTCACTTCACTTTTCTGATCAGGACTAAGTTTTGTTGGCCTTTCCCCCCTCCTTTTTGGTTCCTGACCATCCCTCCTTTTCCCCCACCCGGGCCCACCCTGGCCATCTTACTGGGGTTATTAAGTCGCCTTCCTCAGTATCCCTTTCTGATTCCTTCTTTTTCTCATTTGCTTAGTGCCCTGGCTGACCTTTTTTCAGAGGGCTGCATCACATCTCTCTTCTTCTCAGACGCCTACAATCAGTTCCTAGCCAGTGCCCGCCACGCCACATCACAGAGTTCTCTCGGCTTCCTCCTCCACGGTCTCACTGCCTGCTGTCCGACCTGATTCTCATTCAGAAGGAACACTTCACACTTGCCAAGCCTGTGTCCTCATTCCCACAAAGCGGTGATAGTTCTTCACTCTTGTAGTCTTGTCCTCCCCACCAGCCAGGGCAGCCTACTTTATGGCACCGTTCTCCCTGAGTGCACCAGCCCTCCCCGAGTTCTCACCTGGGTGATCTGTGATACCTATGGCGTATACCACGTGTTTCCGCCATTTATTTTATACTTGGTTTCATGCGTACAAGCTTTCCAAGCTCTTTTTCCTGCATGGCATGAACCAGGGAACCAAGCTGATGGTAGATGTCTGATGTGTTTATGAGATGTGTGTGCTAAGTCTCAGCAGTAATTACTAATAGCTGGGATGGGAGGGAAAGACGAGGCTCTTGAATATTTGGCCTGGGGAAGGTTTATAGGGAGCACAAAGCAGATAGGAACTTCATTTGTGGCCTTCGGTGCTTCATAAGGGCTCAGAACATCTCAAATCCCCGCTAGAAGTGCACTTAGAAGGGGCTGGTTTGGAGACTTTCTAACTGGTCCTAACATCTTAGTTGTACCTGGAGAAGTCTTGCAGTCAGAGAAGCTGGTTTTAAGCACCGGGTGTGTAGGGGTCAGTAGGTGGTTGTGCTTTAGAGAGAAGACTGAAGTGGACCAGTGCTCATCTAGATTCCGCCAGAGAAGAGGGTGTTCCGGAAATATCAGCTCATCTGGGGAAGAGGAGGCAATGATCTTGGAAGGTTCCTTAAGCTCCAGTCAAATGGGCAGCCTGTTCTTGTGGCTTCTATAATCAAAGGATATTATTCCTTCCTACCTGGGAGAAAGTCTGCCTGGAGCTACCTCCAGAGAGAGGCCGTCAGTCCCTATTGCTCCAGTTTGAAACAATTATTTAAATTTTGGTTGACTTCATCAGAGACATTTTTCTGTTTTGCCGACTTACCACCCCCATGTTTCCCCATCATTGATGTTTCTCTTCCTCTCCCCCCCTCCCCCCCTCCCCCTCTCCCCCTCTCCCCCTCCCCCTCTCCCCCTCTCCCCCTCTCCCTCCCTCCCCCTCTCCCCCTCTCCCTCTCTCCCTCCCTCCCTCCCTTTCCCTTCCTCTCTGGAATCAATAAAAACATATTTTAAAAAAACACACACGAGAAATACCCAAATGTCTACCAACAGGTAAAGCAAATTGTGAGTACTCCTTCCACTATAAAAAAAAGAACAAAGTATGAGGCACGCACCAATAAGAATGAATTGCAAAAATGTGATGCAGCCGAAACCGGTTTGGCTCAGTGGATAGAGCGTCGGCCTGCGGACTGAAAGGTCCCAGGTTCGATTCCGGTCAAGGGCATGTACCTGGGTTGCGGGCTCATCCCCAGTGGGGGATGCGCAGGAGGCGGCTGATCGATGTTTCTCTCTCATCGGTGTTTCTGGCTCTCTCTCTCCCTTCCTCTCTGTGAAAAATCAATGAAATATATTTAAAAAAAAAAAAAAAAACGTGTGATGCAGACACAAAAAAAGACCCTACTACATGAATTCCATTTGTGAACTTTTAGAACAAACACACGAATCTCTCAGTGGTTAGATGGGGTGGGAGTCAGGGATATTGCATCTAAAAGGATGTGAGAAATGTTTGGGGGGGGGATGGAAATTATCTATATCTTGATTGTGAGGGTGGTTACATGCATGTGTGTGTTTTTCAAGACTCATCGAACTGTACATGTAAAGTGGATGCATTAGGAGAGAAAGGAGAGCACATGCAAAAGAGAGTATAAGCCCAGTTTGTGTGTCTGTAGTCAGGGGAGGCGGTAGCCAGCCAGGAGGACTGGACGATCCTTGGCGATAGGATGCTGCTTGAAGGCCTAGATAGATGAGTGTGAAATGTCTGTGAATGTGAAGGTGAAACCTTTGTCCTTCCATGGAGATGCGAAGGGAAGGGTGGTAGAGTTGGACACACTTGAAGGGTGAAGGGTAGGGAGTTTCAGAGAGCCACAGGAGGCCCAGGTGTGTGGAGAGAAGGGGGCCTTGAGTCCAGGAGTAAAGGTTTGAGGCACCAACTGTGAGGAACAGGCAGCAGAGGCCAACCCGGAAGTAGATAGACTTATCTCCTTTGACATGGGGCCCCGCTGGCCACAGATGTATAATGGTATCTCCAAGAGTGCGGGGGTTTCTTCAGCAGTGCTCAGAGCCTGGTGTGTGTGTGTGTGGGGGGGGGGGGGGGGTTGGCGGGGGATGGGGAGGGGGCTGCTTGGTAGCTTCTGGGTTGAAGACTGAGAGAACATAGCTGCTGCATCATTAGAAGTGATCAACTGTGGATTTCCAGGCTGGGCGGGAATAAGAATTGGAAGGAAACTAATAAATATATTGAGCCCCTCCTGTGTGCAGGCACTATGGTAGATTTTTGGGATATAGCAGATAATAAAAGATGAATCCTAGCCCTCACAAAGTTTATAGTAGTTAGACATTAAATAAAATATACAGCTATACTTCAGAGGTGGTGTCATGGAGAAGAACTAAACAGGGAAGAGGGCGGGGCATCCTGGGGGGTAGGAGGTAGTCATGGAAGACCTCTCTGAGATGGTGACATTTGATCAAAGACCTAGGCAGAGGAAGCAGCAAATGCAAAGGCCCTGAGGGAAGTGCACGCTTGGCGGTATTCGAGGAATACAGGGAGGCCAGCACTTCTTTTGGAAATAAAAATATTTAAATATTTACCTTTCCGAACTTCGACAAAGGAAAGATGTGAACATCTACTTTGAGTCATTTCTGTCTCAAGTTAAAAAGGAGGATTAGACTAGCACAAACAGGAGCAATGAGTGTTCGGTAATCTCACCCAGGTTTCTCTAAGTATAAAGGTTGTGCCTTTTCCGGCCTGACCCGCCAGGGGGATCAAGTCGAGTCCAGTGGCTGCCCCCAGGGCAGCACCGAGCAGGTTCGTTGTTCTGTTTCTTCCTGTGTTAATCCAAGAGACAAATCACCACTTTCAGGTTTTTAGCCATTGTTTTTCCTCTTCTGATATTTTTACCTTTATCTGATACCCTTACCTTCCCCTGGAATAATACCCATTTTTACACTTGTGAGCTAACCTGCCCCCCCCCCCCTTTATTTCCTTCTGAAAGTAAAACAGCTTTTATCCTTATCAGTCTCCATATAGATAGAGTGGCTTATTTGGTAGCAGTATTTGTTTATACTTGGATAGTTAGGCCAGGTTTCTTTTCTCATGGCTCTTTTTAAAAAAACAAAACAAAAAACAAGAATCTTGCCTGATACCAGTTCTCATTATTAAATAAAAACAACCACCTTTTCGTGTTGGGCTTTCGTTGCATGTTTTCACATGGTGCTTTTTGCTTTTATTTTGCTGGCTTTCCCACTATTTTTATCTACCTTTTACATTATGGAAAATTTCAAGCATATGTAGAGAGAAGGGCAACATGACTGCCCTGTGTTGTCATTTTCATCTTTAAACAGTTATTGACAAGCTGCCATTTTTTTATCTGTCCCCCATACAATTTTTTTCTGTAGTATTTTAAAACAGATCTCAAATTCAAATTTTTTTTAAGAAAAAGAAAGCAGCCGTGTGCTTGCTTCTGTGAGAGCTTGTTAATAGTTGTGCCAATCTGTGGCCCTAAGCTCTGCAGGTGTTTATTCCGGGAACCTATTTTTCTGTGTGGATGGGAAAGCTGAGGTGGCCAGAAGGTTCCCCTACTGGAGTGCGTGCATCTCCTCCTAAGCCTAGAAAAACAGCATGGTTCTCAAACAATGGCATCGTTGTCCCACTGATCCTTTCCTGGCTCCTGCCAGTGACGGCCTGTGTCACTACTGGTGCCTTTGTGGTGCAGGACATGGGACCTGAGGCCTCAGTGTCAGGTGGCCAGTGGATACGCTCTGGGAAGCCAGGGAAATCTTCCCCTGAAGATGAGTCCCTGTGAGCAGATGCTGGACAACAAAGATAGGCTCATGAATCAGAATCACAAACCCCTTGGCCTCCAAAGTCTTGTTTCTGGTGACTTGTTAGAATTCGGCATTGTCTTCCTGTGAAATGAACCAACGAGATGCCCTCTGGCCCCGCTGGTGTGGCTCAGTGTTTCCCTTTGGCTGCAGCATTCCGGCTTTTCCCCCCTGGCCTGGCTGCAGGGCTGTTGCAGTAACCGGGCTGTCCACTGCACCGTGAGCTGAAGTGCTGTGGGTCCTGATTTCCTGCCTCTTGCATCAGTCTGTTTGTGAGCCTGTACTGAGAGGTGATTAGTAGGAACAGCAGACATGTGCTTACTGACTGGAAGTTTCTCCAGTTTCCTATAATGTGTTTGGTTTAATGAATTGTTTGCTGCCCACAGACCACATGTGGTCTATGTGCCTCTGTTGTTGTGAACACCGTATGCCTTCATGTGGGAGCTGGGCTCGTAAGGCAAAGTCAACATTTGATAAGGCTTGACAGAGCTTTCTTTGACCATCCCAACCGACTGGGAGAAACAGACAGCTGCCTGTCACCATAGGCAGAGCCGGGGGAGCCTGGAACTCTGTGTCCACAGTCACATCACAGTATTAGCCGTCCTCGCCCCCAGCTTTGAAGCTGTGGATGGCATGGCTGTACCGCCCGTGGGGTTTTTGATGCTAGAGATACCTCATCACTGTGCCATCTCATGCCTATGGATTTTAGCTCTGTCGCAACACCACTGTGTCAGCGCCCTCTCACCCCACCACCATCCCGCCCAGGAATCCGGAGAGTCCTCTGGATTTGTGCCAGGAGAATCTAGGGAAGGAGAAATTCCACCGTTTGGACAACTACAGATATAACACTGACGTGGAGAGAAAACATTTTCCCAATTCAAAAAGTAATGCCTACCTTTGTACAAATTTGAGGAAATAAAGAAAAGGTGGGGAAGTCACTTTATATTTTCAACAGAGATAGCTCACAATTAGCATTCTTTGCCTCTGTATCTAGTTTTATCGATGTGCATGGGAGAGGTTCTGAGCTGCGTTAATACTCTATATACAGTGTCATCTGCTCTCCTAAACAGAAGAGTGTAGCGATTTGTACACGTTTTAAATTTTTATAAGCTCTTTTTGGAGCCCTAATTTTCTTAGAGGTGGGCATTTCATAAATTAACCATGTTCTTGAATAGTTGAGTAACTTGTAATGCTACTGTGATCATCTTTGTACAGAAAGCATTTTCTATATTCTGTGTTATTTTTATCCTACACTTTATAGAAGTGGGATTAACACGTTAAGCGCCCAGTCAGTCACCGGTGACTGACACTATACTTTTCATCCGGAAGACAAAACAGGCTGGGTGCTTACTGTGTTACTGGGTCAAAGAGAATCATGAGAATGAACACTTGCAGGCTCTCAGATTGCCATACTGCTGCTCCAAAAGGGGGTACCCATTTCCCATCCAGTCAGATTCTCATCAACAGCAGAACTGATGCTTAAGCCACGGTTTTGCTTTTCTCAATGGGAATATCTGGTACTGCTCCAAGCATTTGGCAAGGTGATGATTTTGGTTTTAAGAGTCCTTGATGTGTCAGACAGTGACACTGACCCACTGTCCACTGAGGGCTGTGACGGTTCTCCCTTCGCTGTCCCTCCCCCAAGTTATCTGCACGTTTCTTGAGAGCAGTTACATTCTGCTGTCAGTTCTCTCTCCAATCTCAGTGGCAATCATAAGAGTTTACATTTTGTCTCTGTGCGTTTTCTAAAGTGCCTTTTTGCACGTTATCTCATGTAAATAAACCTAAGGTGTCGGTACAGCTTGTGAATTGGCCCTGGGAACTCTCCAGGAGTCTTGACATCTCGGAGTCTGTCTGATGGTGCCTTTGTTGTTCTTTCACACAGATCCAGTTCTGCAGGTTCCAACACACGTTGAAGAGTAAGTTTTCCGATTTGCTTCAGTACTTTCCTTTAATGCATTTTCTGTATTATTCAATATTTATGAAGCCAATTGCTGGGAGTACATATGTACAAGTTTAAGGTATAAGAAAATGTTAGAGACATAGAAAGTCTTACAGGTGCCACGTCAGAAGCTTTGTTGGGGAGAGGGTAGTCAATTCCTTTGGGAGTGAGTGGCATTTTGGGGGAGGGGGGCAATGTTGTTTAAAAGGCTTATTTGAGATGGAACTTAAGTTGAGGTTTGAACTTAAGCTTCCAAAGTCCTCAGGAAGGCCTCAGGGTTTAGAGCTCTCCCTCTCACTGTGTTAACCACGGAGGGAAACATGAGGGTGACCTGCTGCTAGAGGTGTGTGTTAGAATAAAGGCGGGATGGCGCCTGTAAGAGCCTCAGGTGACCCTCCGGGGTTTCTGTGTGAGCAGGATAGTCCTTCAGCAGGTTCACTTGACCAAAGACCACCTCGCAGCTGCTTCATGGGAAGCTGCCGGCCGAGAGACCTTTATCCATGTCCTTGGCAGGTTCTTTCTGATGTCAAGCTTTCAAAGTCTGCTTTTATTGCCTCTGGTTTAAAAATAAATGTTTGTTGAACACTAAAGGCAGATTTGTTCTACCTGTTTATCTGCCATGCTGCACTATTAAGTACTAGCTGTTGAAGTTATTGACTTGAAAGCTGAAAAGCAGGCTCACTGGGTCCTTTTCACTTATTTTACCTGCATCCAGAGGCTTTGACCCAATGGTGATTTACTCTCCTGTGATGATTTATAATTTTCCCTTTGCAGGCGGCTTTTTTTCCTACTCAAGTACAGCACACACCACCATAGTGATATTCTGTTTGTGGCTAAAGTGGACAAGCTGCGGGTAGAATTAGCTTTCACACGCGCGCACACACACACACACACACACACACACACCACTTTCCCCCTCCCCCAGTCATGGCTTTCATGGCTTTGGTAGTTTGTTTTGTGCCCTGAGCTGTAATCTGTCATTGATACTATTGCTTCATTTCTAGGCCTGCCTTCCTCCCGGATCCCAACGATGGCAGTCTGTATACACTTGGGGGCAAGCACAGCGAAGGCCTAACGGTGAGTGTATTTAGCTTCTTAGTACTCCAGAGGTTCTGGACCAGCGATCTTCCACTTTTGCTCATTGAGATCACCTGAGAGCTTAAAGACATTTGGAGGATTCTGATTCAGGTGGTCTGGAGCAGGGCCTGGGCATCAATATGTTTTTACAGCTTTTAAATGGCAGCCAGAGTTCAGAAACATTAATCTAGACAAGCAGGTTCTGATGGCCCAGCCAACACCCTGGAAAGGTATAATACTCCCTTCAGTAATAGGGTTCACTCTAGCTAGTGATTCTCAAATTGGTGTGGAGAGCAGGGTAGTTTGAAACACTGCCCATCCCCCTGCAGACGTCCGCATGGGGGAGGGGGGGCACATGGTATCCCCATCTCCATTTGAGAATCTAGATGGCGTGCTCCACCTTAGCTACACATTGTAAAAACCTAGAGAACCCTAAAGAAATGCTGAATCTAGATCCCAGTTTCAAGTGTCCATTTAGTCAGTGTAGGCATCAGGATAAGAGAACTTAGAAACAGGCCCACACATATGAGCACCTGATTTATGACAAAGACAACGCTACAGTGCAGTGGGGAAGGTTCATCTTTTCAATAAATGCTTTGGGTCAATTGGGATATCCACGTGGAAAAAACAAATCTCAACTCCCACCTCACACCAGACACACAAAACTCTGTTCCGGATAGATTGCATGTGTAAATGGGAAATGTGAAGTGAACTTTAAGACAAAAAGTAGCAGAACATCTTCATGGCCTTAGAGTAGGTGAAGGTTTCATAAATAGGATACAAACAAAACAAAACAAAAGCATCTCACACTAACAAAAGGGAAAAAATCAATATATTGAATTATCGAAATAAATTCAGAATTTTCTTCTTTAAGAGACACTGTTAAGAGAGGCAGGCTGCAATGTAGTCACAATACCCATATCCAACCAAGTCCTCGTATTCAAAATATATACGGTGGGGCAAAAGTAGATTTACAGTTGTTTGTATGGGAAACAATACAGTAATTAAAGAAGAAACTGTTTTGCATACTCACAACTGTAAATGTACTTTTGCCCCACCGTGTATAAAGAACGATGTAAATAAAAATCACAGCCGGTATGGTTCAGTGGTTGAGAGTCAGCCTATGAACCAGGAGGTCACAGTTCGATTCCTGGTCAGGGCACATGCCCAGGTTGTGGGCTGCATCCCCAGGGTTGGGGCGTGCAGGAGGCAGCCGATCAATGATTCGCTCTCATCATTGATGTTTCTATCTCTTTCTCCCTCCCTTTCTCTCTGAAATCAATAAAAATGTATATTTTAAAAAAAAAAAAATCACAGTGTCATACTACCACCCATTCATTAGAATGGCTAAAACGAGAGAAAAATGGAAAAAAATGGGAAGGGGGGGAATCAAAGCAACTGAACTCCAGTATGCTGCTGGTGGAAGTACAGGTCAGAACTGTGTAGCAGTATCTGTGACCAGTAATCCCCTCCTGGGTTATATGTCAACAGAAATGCATGTATGTGTAATCCAAAAGACAGGTACACGAATATACTGTGGCACTATGTATAATAACCAAGAAGTGAAAACTACCCAAATAGCACCAACAGTCGACGGGATAAATAAATTATGGCATTGTATACAGTTTCATAGTCTACACCAGGGGTCCTCAAACTTTTTAAACAGGGGGCCAGTTCACTGTCCCTCAGACCGTTGGAGGGCCGGACTATAGTTTAAAAAAAACTATGAACAAATTCCTATGCACACTGCACATATCTTATTTTAAAGTAAAAAAACAAAACGGGAAAAAAATACAATATTTGTATTTGCATGTGGCCCGCGGGCCGTAGTTTGAGAACCCCTGGTCTACACCAATGAGAATAGTCTGTGACATAGACGAATCTCGCCAACATAAGGTGGGACAGAAGATGGCAAACAAGAAAGTCTCCACGGTGAATGATGCATTTCTCTGAAGCTCAAAGACGGGAAAAACGAGTCTGTGGTGTTCTGAAGTTAGGATAGTGATTGCCTAGGGGGTCATGGTTGGAAAAGGGCCAGAAGGGGCTCTCAGAGTGCTGTGAAGGTTCTGTGCCCCTCCTGCGTGCTGGTTACATGGGCATGTTCACGTTGCAAATGTAACTGAGCCGTACGCGTCCCCGAGCTTTCTGAGCTTTCTGATTGTAAGTTCTGCTTCAGTGGAAAGTTTAAAAAGCCTCTAATGTGCAGCCAAGATTGAGAACCACTGGTCTAGACTGTAGGTGGCTTGTGAGCCTTAATTTGGGAAGTTTAAAATTATTTGATGACTTCTGAAACAGGTGGGAGAAGGGCAGGCCTTGTGTAGATAGAGGTCTGTGTGTTTCACCTTCAACGTTTCTCTCCACATCACTAGAAGCCTCCATTACTGAAGCGCTTTGCTGGCCAGAAACTGGGTCCAGTGACTTGTATACGTTGTCTCATCTGAACCTCTAAGCAACCCTCTGGGATGACAGTGTTGTCCCCATATGAGAGGAGCGGAAACTATGCCTGGAGGCAAGCGGGGGGTGAAGGAACACGCCAAGTCCAAAGCTTCACGTTGGACTTGAGATTGAAGAGCTCTCTAACTTCCAGAGGATGCTCTGACCTCCGCCCCACATGATGCCTTCCTGCGTTGTGGGTTAGCAGCTCCAGGAGCAACATGTTGCCAGTTCAGGCCCTGAATCGGGAGGCTTGGCAGAGAACACAGGACTCAGAAGCCTTGCAGTGACTTTCTGATTCTCAGAAACATCTGGCAGAAGCCCAGTCATTACAGCTGCGCTGTGGCATTTTTCCTTTTCTAAGGCTTAGCTTAAACCTTGGGATGATGGGAAAGTCCGAATGATTACTTATTTCAAGTTCTGTTTATTGAAGCAAGAGAGAAATCTTTTGTGGAGAAAAAGGTGGCAGCGTAGTAGAGGCAGTTATCTATAGAACGGTTTCAGAAACACAGAATGTTCCAAAAATAAAGCACACTGAAACAAGCCTTCACCAAAAGGACTCGTCAGATGTCAGCTGGAGGCTCAGAAGAATCGGTTTTATGATGAAATGCAGCTGAAACAATGTGGATTCCTCTGAGTTTCTTTTCCTGGCACTTACCGTGACTTCCTTTAACACCAGAAGGTCCAATTTGTCTTCTGTTTTTCAGTAGAGAATTATTTACTGAAGAAAACATCAACACTTCTCTTCCACTTCAGGCTCCTATGTTGCCCACATAATGATGACTTCTTTTTCTCGGAGCTCCCGCTGGGCACGGAGATTGCTGCTCCTCAGAATGAATCTCATGGCTCTCTCTCACTCTGAGAAGCATTGACATTCTCCTCAGTCTTAGCTGGCTCTGGGCCAATTTTCCAAGACGGGCGAATTCTTCTGCCCCCTTAGAATTTCAAAGATTGTACAACTCTCCATAAAATTGTGTAAGCCTTTTCAGAAAAAGGTCTGTGTTGCCCCCAGGAGTGCTCCGGAAAAGAGACTTTGGGGGGCCCATGGAGTAAAGGAGTTAGTGTTTATAGTGCCAGGGACCTGGGAGCCGAGGGCTTGTCCAAAATGGATCTGGAAGCCCAGGGCACCCCTCTCCTCGGCCTCCAATTAGGAAAACGCCCATCTGCCATCAACAGTGCTTCTCTCTTTTTAGCAGAATTGGGTAACAGAAGCAGAGTATACTGTGAAAATTGTAATAATTGTGTAAGACTTGGTTAACTTATTTTTCCCTTTGCCTTTTTTTTTTTTTCTTTTAAGAAACTTCCCTTTACCATCCCGGAGCTGGTACAGGCATCGCCATGCCGAAGTTCAGATGGGATTCTCTACATGGGTAAGAGTTCCTGTGTTCCGCGCTGAAACTTTGAGCTCTTTGGAAATGAGCCCAGAAGCTGGGCAAGTGGCGTCTCTGAGAGAGAGGTGTGCGGTCCCCTCGCCAGCCCTTCTGGGAAAGGTCTTTCTTGCCTGAAGGTCTTTCTTGCCTGGGTTAGGCTTGTTCGAGCCTGGATCAGCCGAACAATTAAGAAAGGGCTCCCCCCACTTGGGAACAGACTCGACACCATTAATATGGTTACTCATTTAACAAGCTTTTAGCTGCGGTGTTGACCTACCCCTGCGATTTAAAGATTGCAACATACCCAGAAGCATTGGACAAAATTTTAAGTGAATACAATGGTGTGAGCCAAGAAAGGGAAGCCAGGCTCCTGCCTATCTATTATAGGGCTGTCTTAGTATTTCCTGCATCAGAGTATTGGGTGAAAACTGCACTTAACACCCACAGGGGCCACATCTTCCAAAGCATCGGATCACCTGCTTTCCCTTTACCACGTCGCTGCCAGAATGTCAATAAAAATGCATTTGTCACACAAAGGAGAGCTGTATTTATCTTGAAATCGTAGTCGTAATAATATCCTGTATTTATACACCAGTTTCTGGAGGAACTGAAAGTGCTCAGTGCCTATTCATGCCTGGGGGTAGGGGAGCCTGTATGTGTATTTCTGAGCCTCTAGTGCAGGCTGAATAGTAAGTTTTTGCTAGGGACTCGGGCTCTGGCTTCCTCCCACACCTTCAGAGTGAGGACCTCCCTCCACCCCAGCCGAGGGAATTGGAGGAAGTGAACAGCCCAGGCTTTCTCTCCTCTGCGCCACGCCCCAGGCCCCTCTGCGCGCCTTCTGACCATCGGTATCGCTGGTTTCTATTTGGCCTTCCAGCGATTCGTCACTTAGGCTGCATTTAGGATATTGTGGTTCCATCACCTTTGTGTGGTGCCTCTTAAGTGAGTTCATTACACACATTTAAAAGTGTGGCAGTTGTCCAGTCCATCCATGTAAGTGGTGCTGGGTTGTGGAGACTGCAGTGGTCCTCGAAGGAACCAGAGAGGCGCCGTGCCAGATGGGAAGGGACCGCGGTCACAGCTATTTGGTGATGTTTTCACTCTGTCTTCAGATCTTTTTCATGTTAAGATTTGTTGCTGAGAACAAAGTTAGGACCCATGGACACGCGTCACACATGTGGACTTGGTGTGTATGCCACATCTGTTAGAGCTAAGCGCAGCCTTAGCAAATTCGAATACCCGGGGCTCTCCCTGGCATCTCAGCACTGCTTCTGAAAGTCCCTTGAAATAGGAAACTTGGCCAGTAAGTTAGGAAGGGGCCACACCTTACAAAACAGAGATGCACACACATCATAGTGAATGTGTTGACCTTCAGATGGGAGGCCCATGCTACGGACTCACCACTCCCATGATGCTCTGGTATGTGTACTGTAGATGCACATCTCTGAGTTTCCCTAAGAGTTGTTTGGCTATGCCGTCCACCTGATCAGACCTTTTAATCAGCTGACTGAGGTGAGAGGTGTAGCCCGTGGCTGGGAATAACTTCCTGGCTAGAACAGGGGCTGAGATAACTTTGATCTCATTAGCACCAGGTTGCAACCAGCCCCACTCCCCAGTGGCAGGTACCAGCTCATTAGAGTCAGAAACAGTCACTCTAGATCAGGGGTCCTCAAACTACGGCCCGCGGGCCACATGCAAATACAAATATTGTATTTGTTCCCGTTTTGTTTTTTTACTTCAAAATAAGATATGTACAGTGTGCATAGGAATTTGTTCATAGTTTTTTTTTAAACTATAGTCCGGCCCTCCAACGGTCTGAGGGACAGTGAACTGGCCCCCTGTTTAAAAAGTTTGAGGACCCCTGCTGTAGATCCTCTTCCACGTGAGCTCATCAGTAGGGAGGTTGCGATATAGGGATGATGGTTAGCAGCGCGCTGAACCCCTGGGTGCACTTGTGAATTTATATAGATCCTAGTGTGGAAAGGGTTGCCCTTTCCAGGCTAGACTTGTATTTAAGGCCACTAATCAAAGCAGGATAATATGAGTTACTAGGTTTGGAGAAATTTTTGCACACGATTAGGTTATTCAGTTATTATGAGACCCTGTGGCCCAAGTGTTTTATTATCTCCACGTTACCATTACCAACTCAGAGCAGGGTGACAAGACAGTGGCCTGTCTCTCGGACAGAGGCTGCTGGTTCGGCAGTGGTATTTGTCCACGTAGGATGAGTGTAAACCAGTGTGTCCTTGTGACGTTTCAGGTAAAAAGCAGGACATTTGGTATGTCATTGACCTTCTGACCGGGGAGAAACAGCAGACTTTGTCATCGGCCTTTGCAGATAGCCTCTGCCCTTCAACCTCTCTTCTGTACCTTGGGCGCACAGGTAAGAAGGAGCCTTTTGTCGTGTGCAAACCTGCCTGTTTCTAGAGAGGACCTGAAGTAGCCTCCCCACGGGTCTCTGCCTCCGGGCTTCCTTATCGAGAAGGCGGCCGGAGCCGTCTTCTCCAGCACAGATTTTACCGCGTGGTTCCCCTTTCTAGACCCACTGTGGCTCCTCAGTGCCTGAGGGTTACAGTCCGATCCGTACGCAGCCCACAAAGCCTGCAGCTGCTGCCTCTTTCCCCTTCTCCATTTTCCAGTGAAAATGAACTACCCACAGCTCCCAGAATAAGCAGTGCTATTTTAAAACACTTGGAATTGTGGGTCCCTCTCTAACAGGTATGCACGTTTTGGCCTGTCTGGCCAACATCCTGTCTCTTTTCACATTGCTGCTCAAAAGGTACCCTCTCTGTGAGGCCTCATCCTCACCTCAGCTCCCCGTCCCTGCCCAGGACAGCAGCTCTCACTCTTTCTCTCTCTTCCTCTCCCCACCCCCTTTCCCTCTCTTTGTCTCTGCCCCTCTCTCCCTTCTTCTCTCTATAAAATCAATGAACATATCCTCAGGTGAGGATTTAAAAAAAAAGAAATTACGGTTGAGCGCTAAGTTTGTCTAAACATTCAGGTAGCCAAGGCTTTAAAAAAGAGATGGAACCTTCCTCCAGGTGCTGTGGAAACAGTGCTTTTCTAAGAGTGAGTAAGGCCAGTCCGGGCTCTGTACGTGAGCAGGAAGGTCTCTATTGTTTGTTTATTGCTGCTTAACAAACCACCCTAACTTCGTGGCTTCAAACACCAACACTTAATTGCTCAGGATTCCGTGCGTCAGAAATTCAGGGAGGGCTCAATAGGGATCAGTGGTCTCCACATGCTGTTGGCTGGGTTCACTCAGGTGCCTGGGGACTTGGCTCAGCTCCACACAGAGAGCCTGGACTTCCTTCCATGATGACTGGATCCTCTGCTTGAGTAAAAGTGGGCGTTACGATGCCTCCAAGGCCTGGGCTCAGAAGTCCCGGAACCTCCCTTCCACCGCAGTCTGCTGGTCAAAGCAAGTCAGGAAGCCAGCCCAGAACCAGGGGCTGGGGAAATAGATTTAGCATGTGTCAAATTACAGTCCATTCTATAAGATTAAGCCACACCCACACATCTCTCTACTTTGTGCTATGGACCACACTCTCACGGCTCTTAGGACCCTCTGATCTAGCAGAAGGTCTGTGAAATGCTACCTTAATAGCAGGAGGTCTGTGAAATACCACCTTAAATCTCTCTGAGGTCTCAAAGAAGGGTCTTAATGCCTCACTTTATTTTTTTTATTGATTTTTAGAGAAACACCGATTTGTTGTTCCACATATTCATGCATTCATTGGTTGCTTCTTGTACTAGCATGTTCCCTGACCGGGGATTGAACCTGCAACCTATTGAGACAACATTTTAACCAACTGAGCTACTTGACAAGGGCTATCTGATTTGATCTGGACCCCGAGGCCATTTTTTGCTGGTAGCACCCTGGACTTCATCTTTGCCCTAAAGCCATTTTTTTTACATTGAGAATCTTTTTCAGCTGGAATGTCAGTCCTGAACCCTCTATATTTCCTCTCTATTCAGTTCAAAAACCAAATTGTTTCTTCTTTAGTTTATCTGTCTTGCAATGTATCACATGCAGTTGAGAGAAGCCATTCGGCACTTTCTGCATTCTGCGTGGAAATCTCTTTAGCCAGATCCACAAGTTCATTGGGTAATTGTGTCACCACCCCATAACCTGGGTTACCCCTTTTCGGCTTCCAGTAGCAGTTTTCTTCCTGCTCTTTCAGTCTCCACATCGACCTTTCGGCCTCCATTTGGCACCTGGTCCCAGTCAATGACACATGTTTTGGGTTTGGGTTATAACACCTTCCCACTTTATTAGGTACCAATTTCTAACATCATCTGTCTATTGCTATATAATAAACCACCCCAGAACTTCAGTGGCTTAGAACAACACTGTGATCTAAGTGTTGGTCATGATCCTGTGAGTCCTGCGTTCAAGGGCACCACGGGGGTGGCTCGTCTCTGCTCCACGTGCTGTTGACTGGGTTCACTCATGAGTCTGAGACTTCAGTTCTCCACACGGCCTTTTCTCTTTCCACATGGATGGCCTGGCCTTTTCTGCGGGCAGTTTAGGGAGGACTTGTCTGTTGTAATTTAGATAAGGTCAGCACGTTGGTGGGTGCGTGGCCCCTCTGGTAACGGGCTGGTGTGTGTCCTCAGAATACACCATCACCATGTACGACACCAAAACCCGAGAGCTCCGGTGGAACGCCACCTACTTCGACTACGCAGCCTCGCTGCCCGAGGACGACGTGGACTACAGTAAGTCCTCCGGTGGCTGTGCCAGGCGGGGTGGTCCTTGTGATCCAGGAGAAAAAGCTCGATCTTTGCGACAGTCTTGGTCAGCAGGTTCTGGACTCCCCATGGAATTAGAGTAAATACTTCAACAGGCAGCGCTGAAGGCAGGTCCTGGTGAGAAGTGAGGAGGGAAAGCCAAGTAAAACGGTGCAAGGTAGCCTGAGAAGAGGGAAGGTGCACTCTGCCCAGTCCCTCTTGTCTCAGAAGGAACTTGCTAGAAGCCCAGTGGGAAGCAGGAAAAAGCATCACCTGTGACAGTAACAACTCACTGCCTACATGTGGCTCACCCTCCAGTTATTTGTCTAGTAAACATTCCCCCAACTCAAATGAAAACTAAAAACCACTTCTGCCAACTTAATACCGGGGTCAGGAAGTCTGACAGAAACCAGCTCTGTGGTCAGATGTGTTCAGCCCTGACTTTGAGCCTGATCAATAGGTTTGAAACGATTGCTATCAAATGCATCCCCGTTGGCTATTTGCTCTCCCTAAGCGAATGGAACGCTGACGAACGTCACTAAGTAACTCACCTTCCAGAGGGTGATCCTGTCTTAGGCTTACAAACCAGGCAGCTCCTAGTGTGTTGCTGTGGTAGAGCCTGAGCGAGCTCATTGGAAACGTGTGAAACTGTTCGGGGGAGATCGGAGAATACTCCAGAAACCTTGTTTCCTCTAGCTGAGTGGCCACAACCTGCCGGGACCTGAGGATGTGGTTGCAAAACAGGGCGAGACTCGATGTGGCTTTGTTTGTCTGATCTGTGCAGAGATGTCCCATTTTGTGTCCAATGGCGATGGGCTGGTGGTGACTGTGGACAGTGAGTCTGGCGACGTCCTGTGGATCCAGAACTATGCCTCCCCTGTGGTGGCCTTTTACGTCTGGCAGCGGGAGGGGCTGCGGAAGGTGATGCACATCAACGTCGCTGTGGAGACCCTGCGCTACCTGACCTTCATGTCCGGGGAGGTGGGGCGCATCACCAAGTGGAAGTACCCCTTCCCCAAGGAGACGGAGGCCAAGAGCAAGCTGATGTGAGTCGGGGGGCTCAGGCAGAAAGGGCCTCTGTGACCCTGACACTCTGGGCTGGCCGCAGCGTGCCACACCACACATGGGGTCAGGGCTCGGGCAGCCGACTCTGAAGCCGTGAGGAAAACAGAGAGCCAAAACTGGCTCATTCAGAAACCCCAGAATATAAGAACCTGGGGGCGTCCCCTGGCGCTTCAGAATTCTTAAGTATTAAATGAATTAAAATGATGGGTGGGGATAGGAAAGAGACAGTTAGTATTCATAGTACAATTTGGATATATCTCAGGTAGTGGGACTATAAGAGATGTACTCCTTTTCCCATTTCATGTATTTTTTAAGTTTTTACTGTAAGTTATATCCACTTAAAAATCAGGCCTACACTGTTAGGGTGCATGTGTCTAAGATTCAGCAGGCTTGTGCTCTCCATCCCCACCTCGGCCTCAGTTTCCCACTTGAGAGAGCTTTTGGAGAAAAGCAAATGAGATAATATGCAGGAATGTTTTCTCTAAACTATACACCACCGTCTCAGGGGCTTTGCCGTGGCCGCAAGCATCAGTCTCTCGCAGGTGATCCCTGCACGCAGTCCTTTCTGCAGGCGCCGTGGGGATGGTTGAGCCTAGCCCTGCCCGTGGCAGATGAGGACATCAGGCAGTGAGTGGCAGCCGGGGCTTGCAGTCCAGTTCTCCTGCTGCCAGGGCAGGAGTCTCGCCTCCACACCCCAGAGTGCTTAAGAGTTCATCTGGCTATTCTTCTGGGTGGTGTTTGGGGCTGGGGCTGTGATTCTTCTCTCCAAAAAGCCCAGGATTTAAAGGACTGTGGAATGCATATGTCTGTTTTTCTCCTAGGCCCACCCTGTACGTTGGGAAATACTCTACTAGCCTCTACGCCTCCCCCTCAATGGTCCACGAGGGGGTTGCTGTTGTGGTAAGTTCCCTTGCGAGAGGGGGAGGGGGGAGGCTCACAGATACAGCCTCCTAACTGCTCCTGTTCCATTTTTGCAAAAAGTGACTTTGAATCATATATAAACATCTGTTGGTTAAGATCTTAGATCCTCAAAAACATTTCCTGCACATGCCACCTTCTCCTTTCGAGGAGAGCTGCGTGACAAAACAGCTTGCTAGGCCCAGGAAGCCCTGGTCATCCCCTTGGCCTGGGTGTTGAAGTCTAAACCCCCGGCCGAAGGTCACAGCTCTCCTCAGCCCAGGCCCACAGTGCCCGTCCTCCCCACTGCTGGGGTCCAACCCGTGCGCTGATCTCCGAAGTTCCTTGTCCATCTCTCTCAGCCTTAGTTCAGGCTGCACCTCACACTCCGGCTCTCCCCTTCCTCCTCTTCGCTACCCACATCCTTTTCATCCTTTCCTGACCTGGTCAGTGCACCGTCTCTGGGCATCTGAAACCCCATGGTCCTGGCGGCTCACTTGGTGTCTGAGGTGTGTGGTTGGCATCCCTTGTCTTCCCAGTGAGGCGGGTTGGCAGCGGCTCCCGTGAGCAGGGCAGCCTCACTTGAGGTCCAGCAGTGCCCGAGCCGGCAGCGGGCTCGTTGGGGAGCTGACTCCACCCTGGTCTGGTGCCTCGACCGTGGATTGCTCAGTGCCCTGGCATTCTCCTTCACTTCCACTGCTGCTCACAGGAGCCGCTGGGAACTCCACACACACCCTTCCCGTCCCCAGTCCCCAGTTCCTAGACTAAAGAATTTGAAAAGGTGTCCATGTTAAAGACCTCAGCACAGCCTTTCACGCCCTGAGGGGGGAGCCTCCCCTGCCGTCCTACGGCCTTTGTGTCTGGCTCTGACTGTCCTGGACCAGCCCCAACCGGAGGTAGGACAGTGCCTTAGGACAGTCACAGGGAGGGAAGGCCTGCTCACCTGCAAGGGCTGCCCAGGCCTCACTTCAGCTCTGTCCACAGCCCCGAGGCAGCACCCTTCCTTTGCTGGAAGGCCCCCAGACTGACGGCGTCACCATTGGGGACAAAGGGGAGTGTGTGATCACACCCAGCACGGACCTGAAGCTTAACCCTGGGCTCAAAGGGAAGAACAAGCTCAACTACTTGAGGAACTACTGGCTTCTGATCGGTGAGTGGTTCCCTGCCATGTGCTGCCTCCTGGTGGGCAGAGCCGACCTTGCTAGTTACAATCAACTGTTCTGTGCTTAGTCGGTGTCCTAGTCTTCCAGACCTTGAACTGTTTACCCCCAAGGGAAATGAACAGGGCAGCTGTGTTGCCAAGTCAGTTCCCAAAAATTGTTTAACGACTATTCCAAAACTCAAGTACTAAGTACAGTCATGTCGGGGATACGGTCTGAAAGATGCGTCGTTGGGCGATTTTGTAATTTTGCAAACATCCCAGAGTGTTGTTACACAAACCTAGAAGGTGCAGCCTGCTACACACCTAGGCCATACGGCACAGCATACTGCTCCTCGGCTACAAGCCTCCACAGCGTGTTCCTGCACACAGCAGCACGAGATTAAATCAAGCCCAAGAGAAATGATGCCATCCAGAGACACAGCAAGCACAAGGTGTATGAGGCTGCTACTGGCATAACGTGGAACACTGTTTGACAGCAAACTTTATAAGTAGAAAGAGGACACTTCAAAATAACAAAAAGGATAGTATAGTAAATACATAAACCAGTAACATAGATGTTTATTGTCAATATTTGTACTGTACATAATTGTCTGTGTTACACTTTTATATGACTTGGCAGTGCAGGAGGTTTCTTTACTCCAGCATCACTGCAGACTCGTGAGTAATGGGTTGTGCTGTGACATCATGATGGCGACGTTGCTAGGCAATAGAAAATTTTCAGCTCTATTATAATTTTTGGGGGCCGTTTTCATATATGCAATCGGGCAACGACCAAAATGTCATTAGGCAGCACATGACTGTCCTGTAAACTTTGTGCAGCCATCTCATGCACTGAATGTCTAATGTGCCAGGCATTGGCACTAAGCACTTTAGAATACATTTCCTATTTTTCACAGGTAGGGCACCCTTGTTACTTCCATTGATAGTTAAGGAAACTGGAGTGATTTCTATAGGAGAATTCACTTGGAGTTGGCGTGGGTGTGGGGGCGGCGGGGGGAGGCGAGGGTTGAAGACCAGCAGGGACTGAGGGAGGTGAAGAGTTAGAGGCTGGATCCGGGTCAAGGAGCCACGGCAAAAATCCTGGGTGTGTGTGGGGAGTCCCTTCTCCTTCTCTTCCGCTGTCCGCCAGCCAGATAAGAATCGAGATGACACCCAGAGGCAGTGAGTGTGACAGATGAAGGCAGAGGTGAGAGAGCTGTGTCTCTGGCAAGTGTCCCAAGTAATTACAGCAGGACCGAGTCTTCTTGAATCTGATTTGCCCGTTCTGTGTCCCAGTTCTGCTGCCTCCGAGCCCCAGAGGTGGTGAGAGGCGGGGATGCAGCCGCAGGGGGTGGGGTGGGCAGGAGGGAACTGGGGGTGCCCTCGTAAGGGCACAGGGGCTCGTGAGGTTTCTCCTCGCCATTTTCCCTCTTGATCTTTGCTGACTGGTGCCTGGGCAGAGAGAGGACAGAGCCGAGGTACTGGGTAGGGAATGTGGAGGGGCTTGGGGAGTGCGGGGCCTCGGAGGCTGGCCTGGGAGCAGTGTGGCTGGTGGTGCAGAGAGGAACCTGGGTGTGTTCAAGCCCTGACCATCCCCTTTGTAGCTGCTCAGGTCTTGTTCTTCTCATTCATCCTGACTCCTTGCAGCCATTTTTCTTTTAGTCATTATCTTTACCAAAAAATGGGCAAAGGAATGGCAAAATCTGTATTTTTTTTTAACAGAAGTAGTTTGGAAAACTTGTGTGAAGGGGCTCACAGTAAGGGAAAAAATAGCTAATGAGCAGCGGCCACTAAAGTGATAAGGCAACTCTGTTTTATGTACCAGTTAAGGGAACACAGACTGCCTACTAATGGTTAAGAAGTGAGAAAAGTATTGGAAATTAAGGAAAGGTGTATGTAAGACTATTAAAAAAATACAGAAAAAATCTTCATGGCTTTATCATTGCAAAATGATATCCCTTTAAAAAGGAAAATTTGCTCAAGTAAGAAAACTGAAAAACCCACGAAATATAAAGAAGTAGTTAGGGAAGCATCCTCAGTTCTGAAGGCCCTTCTGAGGAACTCCCACGCGTCCCCATTTTAAATAGTCTTTGTGTAAACTGGGGCCAAGGCCAAAGGATACGCTCTTCATGTTGAACTATTTTGTTCTTCTATTTGGTTTTTGTGGAAGAAACTAAGGACATCCCCACATCACATTCATCTTGAAAATAAAGTGAGTCCTCTTAGCTTGAGGGACTTGGTCTGGGGTTGCCCAGAGCAGCGGTGCTAACCTGGGGTGCTCTCAGCTTCACCCGGGAACTTTGTCAATTAGGCACTCAAGCCCCCGAGACCCTGAATCGGCAGACCCAGGGCAGGGCCTCTGCTTTTGCTCTGGAGTCCGGACATAACTGCTGATGGTAGATAATCACTAAACGCAGGTGCCATTTACATGAAAGTGTTTCCGGGTCTCGTGAGTACCCGTATGCTCTGTTTGGAGCATACTTGGTTCAGCATGTGAAGCATGCTATTACCGAGCTGAGGGAGAAGCCTGTGCGTAGGAACTACAGGAGGAAGACGAATGAATTGGGGCTCATCATTTCCATGGCAGTGGGTTGCGAGGTGCCCTACAGGAGGGGCAGGACTTGGAGCACGAAGAGCGGGCGTCAGGGGTGGGGCGGGCAGGGCACTGCTGCCCATGGTGGCTCGTGGAAGGCATGATTTCTCTTAGAGTGAAGGTCTTCTGTTAGCCTTAGAGGGACCGGGAGGTACGTTCAGGTCCCTGGGCCCACCAGCAAATCTGAGTCCGAGGTCTGCAGACCTCGCGTGAGGAAGTACGACTCCCCAGCAAAGCCTGGCTCCGAGGTCTTCGGCCAGCAAGGAGCAACTAGGGGCGGATCAGACCAAAGTGAGGCTTCCCTTGAAGAGCAGTGTTGTGTTGTTGGTAGAGAACTGACCTAAAGCGAGGGACTTAGGGTTTGTCTAGTTCAAAAGATGTCCGTAGCTTGGACTAGCTGCTGTTTGTATCTTAGCAATACATCGTAAAACCTTGGATAGAATAGCAGAAAGATCACAGTGGGACCCGATCTCAGTGAGAGAACAAACAGGAAAGTGTCCGGGGCCAGAGTGCCAGAAGCCCAGGGAGAGGTGAACTGGCACACTTGGTGGTGTGTGGGGTCATTTGCGCACAATAGATGCTCAATAAATGTGTGATGAATACTGGGTAGCCACGAAGTAGTTGTGTGGAGAACAACGAGTGAACGCTGAGAGCACCTGACCCTGTCCTCCTAGCAGATATGTCCTGTTGCTCTCGCGAATAGCTCACCACTCCCCGGATGGAAGCTCACGTTACAGTAAAAGAACGAGCTTCCCCGGGGCAATTGAAAACCAAGGTGGGAAGTTGACACTCTTAGTGGAGTGATGTTACAAGGGGAAGCATTGAAGGGCGAACTCCCTGGACGTCGAACAAAGCCTCCTAACGCTTCAGCCGCAGACAGCCTGTTAGGAACACGCACACAAGTCTTGCTCTGAAACGTATCCCCAGCACCCTAATTCCTCTCCTGACAAGGAGACTTCTCGCCCCTCATTATGAGATTGAGAAGACTGGATGCATGCCATTAAGCAACAACATGTCTTGTCTTTAAAAAAAATAAAGTTTTTATTGATTTTAGACAGAGAGAAGAAGGGAAAGAGATAGAAACATTGATGAGAGAGAAACATCAATTGGCTGCATGCCCCCTAATGGGGATTGAGCCCACAACGCTGCATGTGCCCTGGCCCGGAATCGAACTGGTGACCTCCTGATTTATGGGTGGATGCTCAACCACTGAGCCACACCCGCTGGGCAAAACTTCTGTCTTGATGAGACATTCCTGGCAGCTGCCTCTCGTGTTCGCTCTCTCCCTTTACAAACGTGAGTGTTTGCACTGTGGACCTCTCTGTGGATAGCGACTGCTGCCTCAGCTGGGCCGCGAGGGCTGCCCCCACCTGGACGCTGTTCTCATGAAAGTGTCCTTTCCTCTCCCAGGACACCATGAAACGCCGCTGTCTGCGTCTACCAAGATGCTGGAGAGATTCCCCAACAATCTGCCCAAACACCGGGAAAATGTGATTCCTGCCGACTCTGAGAAAAAGAGCTTTGAGGACGTGAGTGGGGCAGGGAGCAGTGACGGCTCTTCGGGTCGGGTGGTGGGAATAAGGCATTCCTCTTGCCTTTAGAGCTTACAGTCAACTCCGCTGGGGAGTCCACGGCAAATGACAGCTGGTAGGGACGGAGGGGAGGAAGGAGATGGCCATTAGCAAAAGCTGCAGGAAAGGCAGTGGGACCGAAGGCTGGGACAGCAGCAGAGGCCGCTGGAGGAAGGAGAGCAGCAGAGCTTAGGCCTGGAGGTGAGGCTGACCTGTGTGTCCAGCTGTGGGGCTGAGGAGACAGGCCTGACCAGATCTGAGGCTACCAGGTGGGGACCGGTGGGAAAGGGGATCACTTGGCTACAGAAGAACCGTGTTACCAAACCTGGACAACCCTGGCAGCAGAGGGAAGACGGAGAGAGGAAGTGGGGAGACCGGAGTCCAGTGGCTGCTCAGACTGAGTAACGATAACATCACAGCAGTAATTTTTAAGGCAGTCGCTTTGGGACAGGCAGCAGTTGTAGGCCCTGTGCTCTCCGGGAGGGCTTAAAAAAATCCAGCACATCTCACATATTCCTTGTGAACAGTCAGTGCTTCTCTTGATTGGCTCGTTTGTCTTGCTGGAAATGTTGCAGAGATGTAACCACCCTCTCCCACACAAGGCTATCCACCTGGTTGACCAGACTTCAGAGAATGCGCCCAGCACCGTTTCTCAGGGTGTGGAGGAGAAGTTCGCTCACGCCCCCGCCAAGCCCGAGGCCCCTGTGGACTCCGTGCTCAAGGACATTGCCACCATCGTCCTGAGCACCTTCCTACTCATCGGCTGGGTGGCCTTCATCATCACCTACCCCCTGGTGAGGCCCGGCCCCTCCCCCTGGCCCACCCGCATGTGTCCAAGCTTCTGTGCCTGTCACCTGATGACAGTGAGGCCCGGCCCCTCCCCCTGGCCCACCCGCATGTGTCCAAGCTTCTGTGCCTGTCACCTGATGACAGTGAGGCCCGGCCCCTCCCCCTGACCCACCCGCATGTGTCCAAGCTTCTGTGCCTGTCACCTGATGACAGTGAGGCCCGGCCCCTCCCCTTGGCCCACCCACATGTTTCCAAGCTTCTGTGCCTGTCACCTGATGACAGTGAGGCCCGGGCAAACACAGCAAACAAGCATATACGTTTCTTTTCACATGTAAAAGTCAATATTTGCTAATCTTTAAAAGCATTGTAATTAGAGAGACACTGGCTTCTCAAAAAATGAGAAGATCTTATGGTTTGACTGTACAAACTGATTTGTAAACCTTGCTTACAGTTCCTTTTGAATAGTTAACTACATTTTCCTTTTTAAAGAATAGCCATAATAAGTGAAAATCCCTTTAACTTTCTTCCCTTAAAAACTGGCTATTAGAGATATCAGTGAGAGTGAGAAAGGTGGCCTGGTCATCCCTCCCACTTTCTAGTTGGAAATAAGTGAGCTAAAGTCACATAGTCTTGTAGGCCGTGCGTTGGATACCATGTACCAGAGGAATATTCCTTCATCAGGTTGCTCCGAGCCCTGAAATGTTATCACCTTAGCTCACAGTGCCCGGGAAGCGCATGCCCATATAGGAATGGGCATATAAACCCTTTACTTTGGGGGTGCTTTCCACTTGTTTAAGCGGGTCCAGCTCTGCTGCCCCTGCCTGGTGGCCGTCAGCCTCCAGTGGGAAGAAGGGGCTGTCCTGGGAAGTCTAACTGCCAGGGAGACAACCAGCCGGTGAACAGACCCTGCCTCCTGTGCTTCCCACCATCTCCTCCACCCTGTGGGGTCACATAAGGTGCACCTGCTTCTCTGGCACAGGCAGCCCTGCCTCCCCCGGGGCCCCGGGGACACTCCGCACTTGTCTGGACGTGTGTTTCTCTTCCCAGAGCGTGCATCAGCAGCAGCAGCTCCAGCACCGGCAGTTCCAGAAGGAACTGGAGAAAATCCAGCTCCTGCAGCAGCAGCAGCTGCCCTTCCACGCACCCGGGGACGTGGCTCAGGACGCCGAGCTCCTGGACTCGTCCGGCCTGTACTCGGAGAGCTCGGGCACCAGCAGCCCCAGCACGTCCCCCCGAGCCTCCAACCACTCGCTGCACTCCAGCAGCTCTGCCTCCAGGGCCGGCACCAGCCCCTGCCTGGAGCAGGACGACGAGGGTAAAGCCATTTGCCACTTGGTGTCGTTTTCTCTTTCATTTGAGTATCACCTGAGAGACACAGCACATGGCCCTCCTGGGAGTGTCCACGGGGTTACAAAGTTCCCAAGCGTTCAACATGTTCTCACCTGACTCCCTCCCGCTCTCAGGCCGGGGCTCTGCCCATCTGTGGCCTCTCCTCTCAGAGGGCCTTCTGGGAGCCCCCGGGGTCCCCTTTCATCTTGCCCCACAAGGGCTGGCAGTCACTGCTGACCAGAGGTGCACTGGCCCCTGGCTTGAGAGCATTCCCGAGGCCAGCCAGGGGCCAGGGAAGAAAGTGCAGCTGTTGGTCCACTTTCCCTTGGAGGGTGGCCCAGGCTGGTGTCAGGACAGGAGACCTCAGAGTCCTCAGTCTCACGCTGGAGACTGCAGCTGGTCTCCCCATGTCACACGGGTGTTTCAGGAGCAAATCCTTGAGGTGGGTCTGTAGCGAGCCCCTGTCTTCGGGAAGGTGTAAGACGTTCATTCTCACAGCAGTGCAGAGGCAGGACCGGGGCAGGGGACAGGCATAGAGCGTCTCTCACCAGGGGACAGGCATAGAGAGTCTGAGATGCATGTCTCAGTCTGAGCTCAGGAAGCTATAGCCACTCTCACCTCCAGGTTTAGGTTGGGTTTGTTTAACACAGTCCCTCCTTTTTCCCATTTTGTCCCAGATGAGGAAACCAGCATGGTGATGGTTGGGAAAATTTCCTTCTGTCCCAAGGACGTCCTGGGCCACGGAGCGGAGGGCACAATTGTGTACCGGTGAGTGGGTTGGAGAGCCCTGTGCCTTCACCACGACAGACAGGAGTGCCTGTCGCTTGCCAGGCTCCAGAGTTCAGCAGGGTCAGAGCCGTGACTCAGACGGAAGAGTGCCGCCTCCAGGGAGAGAAGGGGTGACCACGGGTGGTTGGTCGGAACCTCCTGGGCTCTGAGGCAGATGAGTGGCCGCTGTGTCAGAGGAGAAGGAACACTGTGGGTCCACGGGCCTCCTGTCCTCTCCACAGCCCCCTGCACCTCCCAACCCAACCCACTCCTCGTCTTGCAGGGGCATGTTCGACAGCCGCGACGTGGCGGTCAAGAGGATCCTCCCCGAGTGCTTCAGCTTCGCCGACCGCGAGGTCCAGCTGCTGCGAGAGTCTGACGAGCACCCAAACGTGATCCGTTACTTCTGCACCGAGAAGGACCGGCAGTTCCAGTACATCGCCATTGAGCTGTGCGCGGCCACGCTGCAGGAGGTGGGTGCCCGCGCCCACGCAGCCTCCCTCCTCCCGGCACCTGGGGCACGGTTTCAGGATGGCCGGAGTTGCCTTTTTATTTCCTTTTATTAACTTTATTGAAGTTATATAATATGTACTCGTTTAAGACAGACAGTTTGATGCATTTGCAAAGTTGTATACCCATTTAAACAAAGTCAAAATGTGGAGCAGTTTTATCACCCCACCTTAAACTGGGGTGTCCCTCAGCCTGCCTCGGGCAACCTGTGGTTAGCGTTCTTCTCCCTCTTGGCCTCTGGAACACCTGGCCGGTCCCGATCCCAGGGCTGGTGTGGGTTGGGAGGACGCTTCCTGATGACCCGAGTCGTTAGGATCATAATTCCTTCTGCTCAGTTTCCAACTCGCCGTGACACTGGCTCACTCATTCACTCGTAGGTTTACCTGTATGAGGCAGTGAACTTGAGTGTTTTACCCTCTTATCTTTCCCGCTGTGAACTAGTAAGTTGGAGCTTAGTTGTTTGTTTAAATTAGCCTATTCGTTGAGGAGAAAGTCTTTGGAAAAATAAGGATTTGGACAGAATATTGTCAGTAAAACTTCCCTTTCTTAAAATATGATAAAAGAAAATGAGCTGACTCAATACCAAATGTTAAAGCAGAAAGGAGGCAGGACTTTTCTAAATAAAATTGAATCACTTTAAAAAGAGAAAGAGGAGCATGCACTGAGGGGCCGAGTCCTGGGGCCGAGCCGCGACCGGGCCTTCGTCTCTTGCAGTACGTGGAGCAGAAGGACTTTGCCCACCTCGGCCTGGAGCCCATCACCTTGCTGCAGCAGACCACCTCCGGCCTGGCCCACCTGCACTCCCTCAACATCGGTGAGAGGCTTCCCCACGGGGCGCGGCCCGGGCGGGGTGACCGGGTGACGGGCTTGCCAGGTGGGCCTGGCCTCCGCCGAAGCTCTTTGCTGCGTCGCTGGTGTGCACGCTGTGTAAGCGTCTGAGGAGGATTCTTACGCAGTTGAAGCCTGTAGAGGCGCAGGGCGCTGGGCAGTCTGAGGGAGGTGCACTCCCATCGCAGGAGGAGGCCCGATGTTGCTCGTGGTTCACACTGGGCTCATCCGGAGTTTTGTGTTAGTTCACAGAGACCTGAAGCCCCACAACATCCTCCTCTCCATGCCCAATGCGCATGGCAGGATCAAGGCCATGATCTCCGACTTCGGCCTCTGCAAGAAGCTGGCAGTGGGCAGGCACAGCTTCAGCCGCCGCTCGGGGGTGCCCGGCACCGAAGGCTGGATCGCCCCGGAGATGCTGAGTGAGGACTGCAAGGAGAACCCCGTGAGTAACGGGCACAGGCCTTGGAAAACTGCAGCCTCTTGCACTGTCAGGACTAGGAGCCTCCTGTCGGGATTGGAGGGCAGTGACACGTGTTTAACAGCACACTGCTGGCCCTTCGTATCGTCTCACAACCAGATGGACGAGAGGGGCCCACGGGAGCAAGTGTCTGGTTTTCCCTCCTTCCCTAGTCACTTCCCCCGTATTTGGGAACTCAGAGCTTCCATAAGGTGAACGCACTTCCAGTTTGTATTCTTTTTCTTTTTGTTTTTTTCTCTCAACTTGTCATTTTGAGGATTTTTAAGATGTGCAGAAAATACCTTTGTACCTCCGTCCTGATTCAACATGTTAGTTATTTTTCACTTTCTGTCTGTTGCTGAAGCAGTTGAATATAAAAGGGAAGCACCCCAGTCCTTCACCCTTAAATACCCTAGCAGGTGTCTTCCGAGAACAAGCACAGTCCTAAGCTTTACACCATATCACACCTCAACAGCTAACGTTTGACCTCTGACACAGTCCACATTCACATTGCCCCAGATCCCGCTTACAGAGCTGGTGTTTGCAAACCAGGGTCCAGTCAGGTGCCTTGCATGGCATGTGACGCTCTCCCCTGTAATCTGCTTCGGTCCCCGACCTTCTCTGCTCCCTGGCAGTGACGTTTGAAGAGTGAGGCGCTCGTCTGGAGAAAGCCCCATTGGGGCTTGCTCACTCGTGTCTTCGTGGTGGTGTTAACTCGCCTGTGTAGTCCTTGTGTCCCTGTGAACTAAAAGTAGGTCCCAAGGACCGAATGGATTGAAGGTACGTGTTCTTGCAGCAGCCGTCACAGGCCACGGCATCAGGCGGCACGGCACGGCAGTTGTACTGTTGTTACTGACCCCGCTAGTGATGCCAGCTAGGCTCACCCACCGCAGGTGGCACCTGCTTTTCCCTCCACCACGTTTTCCTCTTTGTTGTTAGTTCCCTGTGGGGCGATGGTTGGCACAGCGTGGATGGTGTCCTCTTTCCCAACAGTCATTCACCCGATGGCACAGCGTCCGCTGACAGTCCCTCCCGGAATTCCTTACCTCAGTGGGAATTCTTCTGCATGTGTTAGCTGATATTTTTCTATAAAGAGGAGTTTTATTTCTGATCCCCTTTCTCTCTCTCTCTTTTTGAGTCACTATGAATTCATGGATTTTTTAAATAGTGTTATAATCCATTATAGTCCTTTTTCTCCTATTCTGTTTCTCCTTTTGACACTCAAATTGGGTCAACGGGAGCCTTCCCACTGGCTTCTTCATCCTTTTGCTGAGAGCCCATCGTGTCTCCGCACCTTTATCCCCCGATCCAGACCTGGATGGGGTCAGCCAGTCTGACATAGATGAGATTCCGTCGAGCCCTCTTACCCCATTCACAGGGGACCAGCAGCTGGTCAGTGAGCCAAAGAAGTCAGTTATGATGAAGGTCATGAGAAAATTCATCACACTTTAAACACTAACTTAAAGCAAGTACTGTGATTCGTTAAGTAATAGGAATCTTTGACGTAGGTTTTTTTCTTCGTGTTCGGGTCCAACTGAATGGAGTTGTTCATTTCCTCTCCTGTATAAAGCACCTCACATGCCACTTCTGTGCCTTCTAGTTTGAGACCTAGACTTTTCACACCCGTCCTAAGAGCAGAATCCTAGTTCACTATTTATGTCCCAGTCCCTTACAGTGGAGCCTCCCACATCCAGTTCATAGGAGTTTGTAGCCTCTCCCCTTTATTGAATCTTTGCAAAACTCAGCTCACCTCAGAGTTGGTGGCAGCCGTGTTCTAACAGCTTATGGGGTATTTAAATTAAAGAACAAGTGGCAGTAATAAGGTTGGGAAAGAACAAAACTGAGCGTAGAGATGAGCTGGTGGGAGCAGGGGACCCAGGCGCGTAGGACAAGAGCGCCCCGGCATCGGTGCTGAGTGTACTGGGGGCGTCAGGCAGCGCAGGCTGTGGCAAACGGGGAGTTTGAATGATACCGAGCAGGTGAAGTGGCAGGTGAGAGCTTCAGCTGTGGTGGACTTGCTCCTCTGTCCCGAATCTGTCACCCGCGTGAGGACAGTCTGATGAGATAAAGGTGGTCGGGCCTGGGAATTGGAAGACCTGAGTCTCGTCCTTGACTAGGACAACCTTGCCCTGGTCGTCGTTGGACCTCTCTGCCCAGGTCTTTATGCCATTCGCTGTGCTCACCCCCTGGGGCTGTGCTGAAGGTGGACGGCAGGTCGTTATTGTTACAGGAGTGTTTTCCCCGGAGTGGAAGGTGCCGGGCTCCTGGTCCCTCCCGGGTCCTCAGGTGTCTGCTGGAGAATCAGTGGTGCAGCCTGGCGGCAGGCCATGCTCGGGAGCCACCTAGTGTTACATCCCAGTAGTGCAGGCTGGAAACCACACTGCACATTTCCCGAAAGTCCCCGCAGACACAGAACGGGTTTGTGGGATCAGTGAGAGGTGCACGCAAACATCAGAATGACCTCCCTGGAAACTTGTCACATAGTTTCTTTCTGGGGCTATTTTTGAAGCAGCAAGTGTTTTATTCCTTTATTAACTAAGTTTTAAGCCGAACATAAGCAGGCCCTGGGGTACACCAGGCAGCAAAGGCACAGAAATCCCCACCTCCAAGGAGCCACCTGCCGGCTGGGTGAAGAGTAGCTGATGGCTAGGAGGGAGCTTCCTCTGGCCACACACCAGTTTAGGTGAATTTTCACGTATTAGTGCACGTAATCTTCACAACCCCAAGGAGCATAGCATGTTCTCTCCTTTTTCCGTTGGAGGACACAGACACAGAGCGGTCACAGGGCTTCCGGCTGGCCGGTGGCAGAGCCGGGTCCCGGCAGTCGGCCCCAGAGCCCCTGTCTTGAAGGTGAACACGCCACCCAAGCAGCCCCTGCAGGGCCCAGCACCGCTCCGAGCAGTTCCCAAACATCAGCCCGTCCTCCACGACATGCTCAACGCGGAGGACGTGGCAGCCGCACTCCCCTGCTGCTGGGAGAGGGGCTCCCAGAGGCCTCTCACACCCCGCACTTCTTTTCAGACCTACACGGTGGACATCTTCTCTGCGGGCTGCGTGTTCTACTACGTGGTTTCTGAGGGCAGCCACCCTTTCGGCAAGTCCCTGCAGCGACAGGCCAACATCCTCCTGGGCGCCTACAGCCTCGACTGCTTACAGCCCGAGAAGCACGGTGAGCGGGCAGCAGGGCGTGCGGGGGAAGGAGCTGCTCCTCAGCTGCCCGGAGGCCCCTGCGCTGGGATGGTGCCAGCTCTGTGTTCCCAGGGATGCTCTCTCCAGGAGCCCACCTGTGGCTGGAGGGACTATTCCTGCAGCACCTCCTTCTAGAGCCAAGAAGCTGAGTTTCCGTCAGGTCACCCATTACCTGTATGACCTGGGCAGCCCCTGTGGGGACCTGTGTTCTCCAGCTCATGACTGGTGAGGGTTATATAATCTGAGGTCTTTCCTGCACCAACGTTCGGAAGGACACGCAGCCCATGCGTCATACGCTGGACTGGCTCTGGCCTGCGCCAGGGGTCAGCGGGTGCAGGCGGGGCTGAGGACAGGCCAGCTTGGTCCTCACCCTCCAGGCCTGGGTGCAGCAAGTCTTTCTTCCTGACCTCAGGCTTTTCTGTGTTACAATTTACCCACGACACCCAGTTCTTAAAACGTCTTTAACTTTTTAAAATTAAAAACTTACGTTTTTGCTGATGGATTAATTTCCCTTATTCCCAGTAGAGAAATGTTTAAGGCCCATATTTCCATTATACAGTGATGAATGGGTGCTGATGACACCTTTGTATATATTACTCTGGTCATCTAGGCATATGTGCATAGGTACATACTATTTTGCAACATGCTCAGTTCTTAGCTTCACCTTGACTCTCTCTCCGTGTTGACCCGTGTGCAGCCGGGGCGTCATTCTCGTGGCCCCCAGTTCAGGGTAGGGGGCATGGCTGTCACCGAGCCTCTGAGTGGGTATTTCCAGCCCTTTTCACACCCTGTGATGAGGACTCTCCTTATCCGCTGAAGATTCCTGGGCAAGCTCTTCGTTAAGTTACAGACGAATTCTTGTCCATGGAGTCTTAAGTCCAAAGGCGTGCAGACGGGTCAGGTGGGGGTGGTCCGCCGTGGCACTGGGCTGGTGATGATGCGTTCGTCGCTGCTTGTTGTCTTCCTCCGCAGAAGACGTCATCGCCCGGGATCTGATAGAGAAGATGATCTCCATGGACCCTCAGAAGCGCCCGTCAGCGAAGCATGTGCTGAAGCACCCGTTCTTCTGGAGCCTCGAGAAGCAGCTCCAGTTCTTCCAGGTGGGCCTGGCTCCATGCAGACGGAGGCAGCGCTCGCCAGGCGCTGAGAGGCAGCAGGACAAGGACTAAGACACATGACCCCGATCCCATACCTAGAGGCAGTCGGCCTGGCAGCTTAATATATATATATATATATATTTTTTTTTTTTATTAAAAATATATTTTATTGATTTTTTACAGAGAGGAAGGGGGAGGGATAGAGTGCTAGAAACATCGATGAGAGAGAAACATCGATCAGCTGCCTCCTGCGCATCTCCTACTGGGGATGTGCCCGCAACCCAGGTACATGCCCTTGACCGGAATCGAACCTAGGACCTTTCAGTCCGCAGGCCGATGCTCTATCCACTGAGCCAAACCGGTTTCAGCAATGTATTTTCTTCATAAAATAAAAGTGAGATCAGGATCAAGCTATATGTACAGTTTTGTATCTTGCCTTTTTTTTTTTTTTTTACTGTATATACTATTTTAAGTATTTTTCCATGTTAAAGCTCTAAAATTCTAATGACTGTTACATTCTATCATATGTGTGTGCCATCATTTAAAACCTGTGTTATGGGAGCTTTCAGATGCACACAGAAGTAGAGGGAATATGATAATGAACTCCCGGTTAGCCATCAGCCGGGTCCAGCAATTGTTAAGTCAGCCTTGGCCCTCTCTCCACCCCTCCCCGCCCCAGAATTTTTTGAAGCAAACCTCAGGCATCATACAATTTCATTCAAGTTTCACAGATTTAAACATTTCCTTATATTGAGTTTTTGTTTGTTTGTTTGCCCAGATCTTAAGATAGATTCTGAGGTTAAATTACAGGATCAGTGGACATGAACTCCTGTAAAGTTGTGGCTATTTTAAGGCCTCCTAGTGTTGCCAGGTGGCTTTGGGGAAGGTGATGTGTTTCTCAGAGTCCTCCCTGGTGTGACATGCAGGTGAGGGGCTCAGGGTCCGTGGACAGGTATGATCTGTGTCATCTCTGTCATGGAGACGGACCATGTGGGCCTCTCTGCAGTGAGTAGCAGATGTGGCCACTCCCAGGGGAAAGTTAACTCACTGGGGTGGGGGAGGCAGAAGTCCAGCTGCCCTGCCCTGAGGCCGGCTTCAGCGCAGCTGAGGACTCAGGAGGCAGTGACCGCTCTGCCTGGGTGTCGATCCTCCAGCTCAGCTTCTCTCCACACTGACCACCACCTGTGGCCCTCGTCTCCCTGCAGGACGTGAGTGACCGGATAGAAAAGGAGTCCCTGGACGGCCCGATCGTGAAGCAGCTGGAGAGAGGCGGGCGAGCCGTGGTGAAGATGGACTGGAGGGAGAACATCACCGTCCCCCTCCAGACAGGTGACCACCGATGTCCCCAAAGCTGCAACCGCTTCTGAGACGCAAACGTGGAAATGGCAGCCGTAGGCTGTTGGAGCTCCAAGCACCACATGCAGGGTGGAGGCTCTCTGTGGGTGTCGACTGGTTTAGATGCACGTCAGACCATTTCATTGTTGTTTCATTGTTTCATTGTTGTCTGAGTGACGGATCAGTGGTGGGTGGGGCTTGTCTCTGGTCGGGGTGTGATCAGCAGGTGGGATGCAGACGAGCCCCACCCGGGTTCAGTCTGGGCGCTCTGTCCTCGATGAGAGTGCAGTGATGTTTCAGTCCCATCGCCTAGTCCCCAGGAGCCTCAGGAATTGTTTTCTTGTGGAAACTGTTTGTTCCATTGCATTCCTTGTTTTTTTCTAGATCTGCGTAAATTCAGAACCTACAAAGGCGGCTCCGTCAGAGACCTCCTCCGAGCCATGAGAAATAAGGTGAGGGCTGTGAACCCAGCCGCTCAGCACCCTCTCCTGTCCATTCTCTATGCACCCTCTCACCCAGCCTGGAATGCTGACCTCACAGAGGCTTGGCGGCCTTAGCCAGACGGGGCAAACTAGAGACTTTCCTCCCGTAGACGGGCTTCGTCCTCGGGGAACTGAGGCGAGCAGCTCACCTGGGAGGTGGGCTCTGTGGTGCCGGCGTTCTCTGTGGTCTCCACTGACTGTGGTGCCTCTGCCGGCCCGACCCAGCACCATGTCCACCCCTAGAGGGCCCTCTGGGCACTTCCCACACGGGCCTGTCTCCAGGGCCCTGGGCAGGGGCCCCACTTGTCTCTGGAGGGCCCTGGGGGTGTTGGCCTGAGCTGTCACTGAGCAGCCTTCAGATAGGGCCCAGGCCCAGACGAGGCCTCCAAGCCCATTGGGGCAGACACTTCAGTTCCAGGCGACTTTATTCCGCTTGAGGCTGCCAGGGGCCTCGCTAGGTCCCCACCCACTCCCCACGCTGGGCCTTGCTCAGCTCCGAGGTCTCCGAGTGAGAGGAAGCAGCCCTGGTGAGCAGGATGGATTGTGGGCTGCTTAGCCCTTCCCCCTTTCCTTTACAGAGAACTAACTAACGTTTTCTTCCTTGAGTAATAAAAGGGTCTCTGACCAGCGTTTCCTGGGCTCCCTAACTGACCTGTGTCTGTCGTCCTGTTTGCAGAAGCACCACTACCGGGAGCTCCCCGTGGAGGTGCGGGAGACCCTGGGCTCCCTCCCCGACGACTTTGTGCGCTACTTCACATCCCGCTTCCCCCACCTCCTCTCTCACACCTACCGGGCCATGGAGCTGTGCAGCCACGAGAGGCTCTTCCAGCCCTACTACTTCCACCCGCCCCCCGAGCCTCAGGCCCCCCTGACTGCAGACGCCCCTGAGCCAGGCCGGACTCCGTCTTGTGGCCCCAGCTGTGACTGAGCGCCCCCTGTCTGCAATCCAGGGCCAGGGGCCACACTTAGCAAGAAGACCAAGCTCCCAAACCAGTGCCTTGAGCTGCCTGCTCTGCAGCTGGCAGAGGAGGGTCTGACCCCTAGATGGGGAGAGGTGACCCCTCCTGACCTGCAGGAAGCTGGGAAGACGGGGGTGAAAGCTTCACCACCAGGGAACAGCTGCGGGAAGGGCCGTCCCCAGGCAGCAGCAGGGCACCTCCACCTCCTCCTGGATAGACTGGCTTCAGACACGTTTCTTTTTAAACTTCCTGTTCGATGTCAGCCTGCAGGCCTTGAAGGAAGCGGGAGGAAGAAAGCCTAAGCTCTGCCTGTGTGCGGGGCCCGGAGCCGCTCTCCCCGACCAGCAGGCTGAGGGGCACCGACGGAGGGACGGAGGTCACTGGTCCCGAGCACCATGCACCCAAGTGTCCCAGGTCACTGGACCCAGTGCTTCCTCGGGGCAGTGGCGTGTGGTGTTGGGGCGGGTCAGCGCACGCGGAAGGGAGGCCACGGCCGCAGGTGCGGGAAACGGAGAAGACGCTCGGTTCCGAGGCAGCTGCGGCCCCACGTGCTGGTGGCCTCCATGGTGGCTTTTGGTGGCTTTGTGGCCTGGACCATTTAGGGATGCTTAGGAGCATTTGGGGGCAAGAAGTGATACTTCCCTGGCCATCAAGGACCCAGTCAGGGACAGGCCTTCGGAACCGGAGGGTCAAGGGCCTACCTGGCCACTGTGGCCATCCCGGGAGAGCCCTGGGCCAGAGGGCAGGCGATGAGGCCTCTATCCCTGCAGCCAGCAGGGTGGCCAGGGGCTTGGTGGCCAAGGCCAGGCTCCCCGCGTGCCTCGTGGGCAGGATTTTTTGTTTCTCTTGGCAGATTTTAATAACGTTATAGTTTGATCACACTGTAGAATGCCACATTAGCACAAGTGAGCTAAGCGTCACGTGAAGCTTGCTCATGAAGAAGAAATGCAATACATCTATTCTGTGTGGTACCCCCCCCCCCCCCCCCCCCCGCCAGGAAGAGTGTTCGTATCCAGAACGTTCTCCAGCTGGTGAAGAGCAAGCATTACAGCGTCACTGTACACGTCATCCTCAGAGTGATGTTCCCTAAATCGCCGTGTCCTTTCTCCCCCTAAATTTAATGTAATTTTTAATTTTCGTTTTAATCAATTCCTGTCTTTTCTCTACCGAGAGCCTTAGTGGTTACATGCAGTGAGGGTCCCACGTGAGGAAGCGTCTCCTGTACGTTCTCCAGCCGGGGGAGCGGCTCACGCAGGCCCACCCGGTGAACTCGGAGACTCACCGTGGAGTTCACTGCCTGACGGGAAGTCACTGTTTCTTATTGTGCGATGTCTTCGTGGTGTTCGTGTGTGGAGGCCACGCAGCACAGGCTCTGGTTCTGCCTTTGTAGACGCCCATCCCTTCCATGATGCCTGAGATCACTCGTTCTCTTAAACAGCGCCCACCTCTGTGAAGCTCACCAGTTACCTCATTCAGACCCGCACAGCCAGGCGGGTTCTTCTCCCCGCTCTCATTGCCTGTGCCAGCTCCGTTCCGTGGGTCACTGTGCCGCCAGCCCGAGGGACCGGCGGGAAGGTGCCACGAGGACGTCCCGGGCTGCCGGCTCTCTGCTGCCGGGTGCGGCTGTACCGCACTGCTGAGCGTTCTCTTTGCAGAGTAGCCAGTCATTTCTAGCCGCCCGATACTTGTCATCTCTCTGTTTTGGCTCAACTTGCCTGCAGGACAACTTCTCTTTAAAATGCCTTTTCTGCTGATCATATTTCTAACCACCCACTGAGACTCATTGATTCACCGCATGCTGGGACACTGGCGCTGGGGACAGAGAGAGGGACAAGATAGAACCTGTGCTCTCATAGGAGCCTGTGGTGAGAGACAACAAGTTAACATCAGTGCATGAAGGAGCCCAGGGTTGGGGAAGGGCGTGATTTGGGGTTTGCACCTTTTCAGTCTTAAAGCGCCCGTGTCCTGGGACCCCTCGGAACTGGTGAGACTGCTCTCTGTCCATCTTATCCTCATCGCCTTCGGGATCCAGGCCTTCAGAGGCTTGCAGAGGTCTTGCGTGGACACTTGCCATGGAAACACCCTGTGGTAGATCCCGTCTCAGCCTCTAGCATTCAGGTTTCCTGCTGTGCTGCTGAGCTCTGGGCTGTGGAGTACGAGTCCTAGAAGGCTGTTGGGCTTTTTAGAAGTATTCGGTTTTATTTTTACGACACTTTTCTCTGATTGCTTCTCGAGCTTTCTAACTCATTTTATAAAAGACTCTGCATGTCATGGGGCATCCGAGCATTTGCACTTTCAGGACTCACTGGTGTTACCTGATAAGCCACTGAGCCATCCGGGCGCCGAAGTACAAAACCCTGTCTCAGTGCAATAGTCATCGTAGGCTCTGAGCGGCGAGACGTCACTCTGACCCGCTGCATGTGTTGTACTGGGAAAGCTCCAGGCCAGTGGGTCCAGCAAAGTATTTTCTTCCCATCAAGAACGGTCCTTATCAGCGTTTACCCTGGTCCTCCCGCCAAGGCTTTGTGTGGACGTGACTCGGGTATCTGTGTGGTTCCCTCTCATTGCTGCTCTGACCTCTCGCTGACGTGGGGGCCTTTGGACAGCAGTGCTTTCTCCTCTTGGCCGCTCTCGTTTCAGAAGTTGGACTCTGGCCAGCTTCCCGATACTTTGGGTTTCCCAAGACCGTTCCCCTTTTCCATGTGCTCCTCAGCTGGGTCCTGCGGAAGATGGGCTGGCTCCGCGTCCAAGCCCTCTATGCAGGGAGAGCGAGCCCAGCACCCGTAGAGCCCCCTTACATTCTCGTTAGCTTTCCTTCGGTTTCTGAAATCCCTTTCCTTCATGCCTCCCGGCGTTGCTTTGCCCTGGCCGTCCTGGAGTTGTTTAGATGTGCCTGGCCTGGCAGCAGCCTTTCCAAGGAAGTCACTGCGTGTCCCGTCCAGATAAGCCAGATTTCCTCCTTCCAGGGTTGGACCGTTATCTTTCAAGCCAAAGCGTCTATCCTCTTCTGTACTTCCTTTTGAAACAGTGATTTCCCATGCGTGACTCCGGTTCTGACTGTAGCAGCATGTGAATCTCTCCTGTGCTCAGTGGAGAACCACAGAACCATCCGCAGTGAGCCTCCCACCGGGCAGCCTTAACCCACAACCGCGGCCAAGGTCCCCACACCCACCTCCCGGGCTCTGCGCTTGGTGGGTGCAGTATTCCTTTCCAGTACCCCAAAAGCTGTGACGGGGGTGTCCCCAGTACCCGGAAAGCATTACCAGTCAACTCTGCCATGTTCTCAGATGCAAACCTTACGTAGTGTTCTTTTTGCAATGACCTATTTATTTAACCTATTTATATTTATTTAATTTTTACTCTGAAGTATACCCCAGTTACAATTGCACTTGCTTAAAGCACAGACGATTTGTTTTGGACAACACCCCTGACCATGTTAAAACTGGAAAAGGAAAAGTTATACTGTATCCTTCCACGGGATGGATGCCTTACAGTAGGCTTTGTTAGTAAAGGGTGAATAATTTGGTCGTGGTAAAAATGTTAATTTTTAAGTGATTTAAAAATGATTCTGTGCCATCGTGTCTTCTCTGTGGATGGTTAGTTGTTAAATGTGTGTTAATTATGTGAAACAATCCTCTTTGTGGAGCCTAAAATCCTCCTTTTTAGCTTTATATTTTATAAACTGCCAGATTGTACAATTTTTATGTGTATTTTTAAAGCTTGACAATGTGAGGGTAATTATATAAGTAAAATGGCCTATTTTTGTACCTCCTGTACAGTTTTATAATTCTGCTGATTGATGATGGCGTCTTATGTTGAGCCAACCACAAATAAAGGTAGTTTTAGATTTGGAAGCCAGTTTCATCTTCTTAAAGATGCGACCACCACTCAGACCAAGGGGTTGATCCCAGCTGCCTTCCGGGCGAGGCGGTGGCTGGTGAGGGTGAGCAGCTGGCTCAGCCAGTGGGAAGGCGGGTGGAGGTGCAGTTGCCCGCTGGTGTCTGCGGCAGGGAGTGGGGCTGGGACATCCTTCTTGGTGGCTCTTTGTGGGAAAAGACCCTTTGAAACTGCAGGAAGTCCCCCGAAGTATCAGTTTGAGCTGACTTCCAGCAAGGTGGCCAAGTTGGGACAGACTTGCCTCATGGTGAGACTTGGGCTCCAGCAGAATTTGGGGCACATGTATGGTGAATAGGATGCTGGACCAAGAAGTCTAGGATGAGAGAAACCCACTGGGGTGACTCGGCCAGCACAGAGCTGGGAAAGCACAGGGTGTGTCCTCCCGCACACAAAGGAACGCATTCTCCTTCTCCCATCCATCCCTCTAAAATCAGAGGGCTTTGCTTTCTCCTGCACCACCTGAAGGGAGACGCTGAAGGGCCCACCAGCCCCCGGACAGTGTAGCCAGGGCTCAGCTTCAAGACTGGCTCCTTCCACGTGGTCCCCTCTCCCCCTGCCTCAGAGGGCACCGGAGCGTCCCTGAGAACCATAGACACACCCGCCTGCCGTCTGCAGCTCTGGACACAGCAAAGCTCTGGACACAGGCTTGCTTCCTGTCACTTGATGCAACAGCAGAGACAGCTCCTGCGTCCCCCACACAGCTATTACGCCAGGACTGCGTCTGCCTCTTGAATTGGCCCAGGCCAGGGAGGAAGGCAGCTGGCAGCACCCTTAGCTGCCTCCGAGAGCAGAGAGAGGAGGCCAGCAGGTGGTGGGGCCACTGGCACGGTGGGGCCGGGGCTCCAGGCACTGAGATGGGGTTTGCTGCTTTCATGCTGAGTTAGCTTTGGGCTGCAAAGACAATGTGTTTTCTTAGTGTCTGGTGCACTTTATTAAACACTAGAGGCCCGGTGCATGAAATTCGTGCACGAGTAGGGTCCCTTGGTCTGGCCAGCGATCAGGGCCGATCAGGGCCTTCTGGCTGCCGGCTGGGGCCTTCCTTCCCTGGCTTCTGGCTGCCGGCCAGGGCCTTCATTCTGCACCATCCCCTGGTTGCCAGCACACATCATAGCGAGCAATCAAACTCCCGGTCGAACTCCTGAGGGGACACTTTGCATATTAGCCATATATATATATATATATATATATATACACACACACACACACACATTCACAACTGTATTCCATCAGCGAATGCACTTATTGGACTCTCTATGTTTGTCTCATTGGGGTCATGTGTTAGCTTCAAGAGATCATGACAACAGCTAATACTGGGCCAGGCACTGTGCTGGAGCATTGGTGCCCTCATCGGTCCTTGGCCTTGACATCTTCCACTTTAGTGAGAGACTGACCAGACGCTTCGGCAGGGCCAAAATCGTGCCTGGGCCCATCCGCTGTGGGCAGAGGAGCAGGGCTGGTAAGAGCTCAGCAGCCCCCTTGAAACCATAGTGAAGATGGTGGTGGTTGGTGGGGGCTCTGTTCCAGAAACAGGAGGGGCAGTAACTGAGTCACTCCACCCCCAGAGCGGGTGGGCAAGTGAGCCCAGTGAGTGCTCTTCCTTGCTGTCTCCTCTTCCTGCCTCTCCGAATCCCCTCCCAGGCCTGCTCCATGACCCGGAGGAAGCCACGGAAGTGCCCGTGGAGTGTGCCTGGCGGTGACACAAAACGGGAAAGAGTGACTAACACCAGCGCGGCCCAATCAAGATTCTGGAAGATGCCGAGCAACTGGACTGCGGAGTTTCAACCCAAGAAAGTGGCAGGAAGTCCTGCCTTGATCGTAATGATGGGACTGAGGTGAAGGGTAGGGCTGTGAGGGGACTAGAAACTCACAGACATTTGAAGAAACCGCTGTTGGGCCCTCAGACACCTGTCACGGGAGGAACTGGCTTTGCTGTCTCGGTCCAGGTTTGAGCAGGAGTGGGGGGAACAGGGTCCAGGAGGGCAGACCCAGCTCCAGGAGGGGGCTGCCCATTGGCCTGAGCTGCCCAGGGGCCAAAGGAGACTCTGTGAGTGAGTGAGTGAATGAGGAGTCTCTGTTTTGTTTTGTTTTTGTTTGTTTGTTTGTTTGTTTGTTTGGGGGGGGGGGTATTCCAATAGAGGAGAAGGGCCTCATCCTGAACAGACTAGGAAGAAACTGTTTTTTGGGTCAGAGGTTGGTCTCGGATTCCTTCCAGATAAGCACAGATGACTGAGGCCTACCCTTCCCTATGGTGAGTTCCTGGAAGAGGCTGCCTGAGCGGGTGTGAATCACAGGAAGTGGGGAGGGGAGGGGAGGGGAGGGGAGGGGCCAGGAGAGCTGAGCATTGGGTCGGGTGGGGTGTCTCATGTCCCAGACGCACATGCCCTATGGCAATGATGGCGAACCTTTTGAGCTCGGCGTGTCAACATTTTGAAAAACCCTAACTTAACTCTGGTGCCATGTCACATATAGAAATTTTTTGATATTTGCAACCATAGTAAAACAAAGACTTATATTTTTGATATTTATTTTATATATTTAAATGCCACTTAACAAAGAAAAATCAACAAAAAAATGAGTTCGCGTGTCATCTCTGACACGCCTGTCATAGGTTCGCCATCCTAGTGTGGCTAGGACCAGGTGAGAGAAACAAGGCCCAGGGTTGACTCATTTAGGACAGTTGCGTTTGCACCTCAGAGTACCGAAGGAGAGTACACTTAGGTTAAAGGGCTCAATGGCCAAATGAATTCGGGAAACGCTGAGATAGCTGCAGATTTTGATGGCATTACTGTTCAGAGGCCCTTCATAAGCTGACAGCTTGTTCTCCAAATCGGGATATACACTTACCTCCAATTATTGCCTTTCATTTATTTTTTTAAAAGGAAGGGCCCTAGCTGGCTTGGCTCAGTGGATAGAGCATCAGCCTGCAGACTGAAGGGTCCCGGGTTCGATTCCAGTCAAGGGCACACACCCGGGTTGTGAGCTCGATCCCCAGTAGGCGGCCGATCAATGATTTTTTTTTTAAATATATTTTATTGATTTTTTACAGAGAGGAAGGGAGAGAGATAGTTAGAAACATCGATGGGAGAGAAACATCGATCAGCTGCTTCCTGCACATCTCCCACTGGGGATGTGCCCGCAACCCAGGTACATGCCCTTGACCGGAATCGAACCTGGGACCCCTCAGTCCGCAGGCCGACGCTCTATCCACTGAGCCAAACCGGTTTCGGCCAATCAATGATTTTCTCTCATCATTGATGTTCTGTCTCTCTCTCCCTCTCCCTTCCGCTCTGAAAGCAATTTAAAAAAAGGGAGGAAGGATGTTTGGAGGGGCAGAAGTAATGTTATGTTGTCATCAAATCTTACTTTATTTTTCTCTTTCCAGGAAGACATTCCCAGCCTCTCCTGTCGTGAAGACCCAGCACCAAAGTCGGGTCTGGAGCCCGGCCAGTGCAGGCCACGTGCAGCTCACTTTGCAGCCTCCCTGCTGACTGACGAGTCCTCTGGGGATGCGTGGTCTCTGGCTCTGGACAGAAACCCGCTGAAACTGGCTCGAGCAAAAAGGCCAAAAGAATTGGCTGGCGGACGCCAAACTGCAGGAAAGGCCTCAGGAATGGCTAGAACTAAGGACTGGAACCATCAGAGCACTTTCACCTCTTCTTTGAGCATTTGACCTTCTCGCCTATTACAGACCCAAGAAGGGAGGCTTGGCTTCCTCTGACCTCTGCAACCTGGCAGGAAAAGACTCTCTTTCCCCAACTCGTTAAAAACAAACAAACTCAAGTAAATGCCTGAAATACCATGATGCCACTTTGGAGCAATCGTTTGGCCAGGGAGGTGGGGTGGAGTAGGAGGACAGCAGCTCCCCAGAAAACCTGTTTGTGGTCGAGAAAGGAGGGATTCTTCTCCAAAAGAGGCAAGTCCAGCCATCACTCCTGGGGAAAATGTGAATCCGACATGTGCCCTAATTTTTTAAAACAAGTTTTTATATATCTATCCTATATAATAAAAGGCTAATTGACCAAACAGCGGAACGACCAGTCAGGCACTGACCACCAGGGGGCAGGTGCTCAATGCAGGAGCTGCCCCCTGGTGGTCAGTGTGCTCCCACAGGGGGCATGCCACGCAGCCAGAATCCGGGCTCACGGCTGGCGAGCGCAGTGGTGGTCATGGGAGCCTCTCCTGCCTCTGCAGCAGCACTAACGATGTCTGACTGCCGGGTTGGCCAGCAGTTGGACATCCCCCGAGGGCTCCTGGACTGCGAAAGGGCGCATGCCCGGCTGAGGGGACCTGCTCCCCCCCCCGAAAGTGCACGAATTTTGTGCACTGGGCCTCTAGTATATATATATAAAAGGCTAATATGCAGTGTCCCCTCGGGAGTTCGACTGGGAGAGCGGGAGTTTGATTGCTTTCTATGACTTGCGCTGACCACCAGGGGGTGGCACAGAACGAAGGAAGGCCTTAGCCGGCAGCCAGCAGCCAGGGAAGGGAGGCCCTGGCCAGCAGCCAAAAGGAAGGACCCAGCTGGCAGCTGGAAGGCCCCGATCGGCCCTGATTGCTGGCCAGGCCTAGGGACCCTACCCGTGCACGAATTTTGTGCATTGGGCCTCTAGTATATATATTTTTTTATTGATTTCAGAGAGGAAGGGAGAAGGAGAGAGAGATAGAAACATCAGTGATGAGAGAGAATCATCTATAGGCCGCTTCCTGCACACACACCCCCACTGGGGACCAAGCCTGCAACCCGGGCATGTGCCCCAATGGGGAATCGAACCCCGACCTCCTGGTTCATAGGTTGATGCTCAACCACTCAGTCACACTGGCTGGGCCCTAATTTGTATCTACCGCAGGTACCATCAGAGCTCTAACGTCACACGGGCTCCACAAAGCCTTCGGCCCTGCTGCCCCCACCTCGACGTTCTCCCTTGGTTGTGTTTTGGCAGCAGTGAGACAGGAACTTTCCAAAACGAACTTCTGTGAAGAGCCCGAAACACAAAAGCACCAGGAGAGATGGCTTCGGGCCTAGAAGACCCTGTGTGGGCATGGCCTTGACTGTCCTGTTGGTCCCTGACATCGTCTACTTTGTGACTTGGCTAAGCCAGGAGCTTAAAATGGGGCTGGCCTCTGGGGGCGAGATCCCTGCTTGTGGGCGAGCCTCGCTGGCCACCCAGCACCCACCTCTGCACCCAGCTTTGATTCTTTCTGCCAATTGGGACAGTCACTCTGCTAGGGTAGTTTTTTGTTTGTTTGTTTTTGTGTGTTTTTTATTGCTAGGCGAGGTGGCAGGTGTGACGTGACCTGAGAAAGCGATGGTTCTTGGTCACAGACAGGTTTTCGTGGTGGGGCACAGGGAAGACCCAGCTCTGTGATGTTGACTAGCTTCCTGCAGGGGTTCACCCTGGAACTCTATCATTCATCAAAGGCCCTAAGTAGTGCAGACACTGCACCTCAAAGGAGAGAAGAAAATGGTATGGCCGTTCCTCAAAAAAATTAAACAGAACTACCATGTGACCCAGCAATCTCTCTTCTGGGTATGAACCCCAAAGAGTCAAAAGCAGGGAGTTGAAGAGAGATTTGTTCACCCACATTCATTGCAGCATTATTCACCACAGCCAGAAGGTGGGAGCAGCCCAAGTGTCCGTTGACGGATGAGTAGAGACACAAATGTGGTCGGTCCACACAGCAGAATATTATGCAGCTTGAAAAAGGAAGGTAATTCTGCCCTGGCCGGGCAGCTCAGTGGGTTAGAGCATCATCCCTATATGCCACGGTTGTGGGTTCAATTCCCAGTCAGGGCACACACATGAATGCGTGGATGAGTGGAACAACCAATCGATGTTTCTCTTTCTAATCAAAAGTTTTTTATTTTAATTTAATTGAAAACATTTTTAAAAGGAAGGTAATTCTGACATGTGCCACAGCATGCATGAACCTTGGGGACATTGCGCTCAGTGCAACAAACAGTCAGAAAAGGACAAAGATCCCCCTGATAGGAGGTCCCTAGAGTCGTCAAATTCATAGAAACAGAAAGTAAAACAGTGGTTGCCAGGGACTGGGGGGAGGGGTGGCTGGGGAATGTAGTGCTTCACGGGGAAGAGTTCCAGTCTGGGAAGATGGGAGAGTCCTGGAGATGGGTGGTGGTGACGGTGGCACCGCGTGTGACAGTACTGAATGCCTCAGAACCGTACACCAGAAAAGGTTAACGTGCTGACATCGTTGGCTGTGTGTGTTTTAACCACTGTTTTTTTTTTCGGGGGGGAGCGGACGGAAAGCGATGAGAACCAGGCACAGGAAGCACGTGACTTCTGGGTAGAAGGAAGGAAGAAACCTGAATTAATACGTCAGACCCCAAGACACCAGGGCACCCAGCGGCAGCATCTCATGCAGCTTCCACCTCTCGGGGTGTACTGGACCCCTGGCCACCGCTCCTTCCCCATCACTCACTCCATCCAGCAGATGACAGGTAAGGCCACACTTCTCACCTCCCTGGGCAGAGTGGAAAGGATTTGGGATGGAGCATCGAAGCCTGAGTTTCAATCCCTCCCCCTCCCTGGACCTTCATCCCCCCCCGCCCCCCCTCCCCTCAACACACACACACTCTAAGTGTGGGGTTGGGGGAGGAGGCTGGAGATCGCAGAGGTCCCCAGCTCCACGGAGCTCCTGTCTGCTCTCTGAGTTCATGAACCACGCTTTGTGGTAGTTTCCTGTTTTTGTTCTCTTGCTTCCTCTCCTGCTCTGTCTCGGTGACAGATTTAGAGCTGCGGGGCTGCCTTCTGGTCCAGGGGCCCAGATGGATATGCCCTGGGCCCTCTGAGCTGAGCCGGATCCTGGGAAGGGACAGTCCCCAATCTCTGGGGCTTGCATCTGGGGTTCATGATGAATCCCAGTGAAATCCTCTCTCCTCCGTGAGCACTTCCCTCCCATTCCCATAGAGCAGTGGTTCTCAACCTCCCTGATGCCGCGACCCTTTAATTCAGTTCCTCATGTTGTGGTGACCCCCAACCATAAAATGATTTTCGTTGCTACTTCGTAACTGTAATTTTGCTACTGTTATGAATTGTCATGTAAATATCTGATATGCAGGATGTATTTTCATTGTTACAAATTGAACATAATTAAAGCATCGTGATGAATCACAAAAACAATATGTAATTATCTATGTGTTTTCCGATGGTCTTAGGCAACCCCTGTGAAAGGGTCGTTCGACCCCCAAAGGGGTCGCGACCCACAGGTTGAGAACCGCTGCCATAGAGCCTCCTCTTCTGTCTAACACGTGGGAATTTCTCTTTTCTCCTGGCATCCTGTTAGTAACATTTAATGTGTGGCACGTAATGTAACATATGAAGCACGCATGTACATTCTATACAGCAGGGTAGTATGGAAGGCCTGAACCCAACACTCAACACAGGCATGTATTGTTCCTAAGCCCTGCATCTACCTGTGCGTTCCTCGCTCCCACCCAGATGTAGCCACCCTCCCGATGCTCTTAGTGCTTTATCACATATGCATGCCTATTCTATTTTGTTTCACACTTCTTGGCACAAATTATTTGTAGACATTTTTAATTGTGGTCAAATTCACATAACACAAAATGTACCATCTTAACCATTTTTCCATTTTTAGTGTGCTTCTTTATCCATAGTTGAGACACGTGTATTAAAATATCTCGCTATGCTGGTGGTTTGATCTCTTTGTAGTTTTTTCAAGAGAGATGCTTATCCATGTAGACTATGAATTGATCCTTTAATTTAGGCACCCATTTTATCCCTTATCAATATCTTTGTACTAAAAGTCCTCTTTGCCGGATAGCAATAGTTGGCTGTGGTAAGTAAATGCGTGTTTTCTTGTAACCAACCTCGAGTTTTCTCATACAAAACGGAAACTCTACCCATCATACAACTCACCAGGCCCTGGCAACCACTGTTCTGCTTTCTTTTTCTGTGAATTTGTAACGTCTTCTTTTTTGAAATATATTTTTATTGATTTGAGAGAGGAAGGGAGAGGGAGAGAAAGATAGAAACATCAAGGATGAGAGAGAATCATCGATTGGCTGCCTTCTGCACAACCCACGCCCCACACCCCACACTGGGGGTTGAGCCCCCAACCCGGGTATGTACCCTGACCAGGAATTGAGCCATGATCTCCTGATTTATAGGTTGATGCTCAACTGAGAGCCATGCCGCTGGGCTGGAACGTCTTCTTTTTAATCTTATAATGTTCCTGTTTTCGTTCCTAATAATGGTTACTTGTGCCTTCTTTTGTTTTTAAATAGATATGCCCATTCTATTCGTTTTCTCAAGAACCGATTTTTGGCTTTATCCATCCTGTCTCCTTTGTTTTCTAGTTTATTGATTTCTGCTCATTATTCCCTCTGAGTTTACTTTTGGGTTTGCTTTGTTTTTCCTTTTCTAACTTCTTGACTACTTACTTAAATTGGGTGTTTATTTCAGACTATTTTCGGTACAAGCATCGAGGCTATAACTTTCCCTCTAAGTACCATGTTTGATGCATCCCATAAATTTTAATATATGTTTTTTCACTACTATTCAATTCTAAATCTTTTTAAATGTGTTATTACTCTGGGTAATGGGTTATTCTGACCCATGGGTTATTTTAGGGCATGTTTTTACATTACCAAATATATGGAATTTTAAAACTAACCTTTTAAAAAATTTGTATTCTCTGATTTATAGGTACCTATCAAGCTTTTAAACTATGTTTCAGCTCTTCTATTCATTTACTGGGTTTGTTTTTGTTTGTTTTTTTTTTGGTCTGCTTCATTATTCGTAGTTGAAAGAAGTGTATTAAAACCTCTTGCTTTGATGGTGGTTTTATCTCTTTGTAGTTCTTTGAAGCTAGATGCTTACAAGTTTAGAACTATCCTAACTTCCTGGTGAACTGACCTTTTCATTTAGGCACTTACCCTGTTCCTAGTAAGTATTTTTATCGTAAAAGTCCCCTATGTCCGATATCAGCGCGGCTTTCCTGGCTTTCTCCTGGTTACTGTTTGCCGGGGCTGTCTTTTTCCACCCTCTGACTTTCAACCATTCCATACTCCTGGGTCAAGATCCGGGTCACGCCCATTTGCTAGTCACATGGAAAACTGTGGTTTCCAAGGGAACCAGCCTGAATCACATTAAAAATCTGAGGATTTGTAAAGATCATGGGACCCTGGTTGTCCCTGTTTATAGCCCAGCTGTAGCCTGGGGGGCAGCAGAGACATCGCCAGAAGGAGAAAGATATGCTAAGTGGGCCCACCAGAAAGGTCGTTTGGGTTGTTTATCAAGACTGTCTCTCATTCATTTGCTAATCCACCCATCCATCCATCTACTGACTGAACAGTTATTAAGACCTACTGTGTGCCAGGCAGTGTCACTTTCTGGTGGCTGTAGCTTCTGCCTTCATGGATGGAAAGGCCAGTGGGGAGGGAGGGGAGACTGACATGTAAGATCTCAGAATGCAGTACACATATGTCTAACAAAGCCATGGGCATAGGCCTGGTTTGCCCCAACGGTGACTCGGTTTCCCCATCTGTAAGATGGGGACAGTAACAGTACCTACCTCGTAGAGTTGGGGGATTAATTAGTTAATGTTTGTGCAGTGCTTGTGACCTGCAGTCAGTAAATGTTCACTTTATTGTGTTACTGTTGTGATTATTTTTGTAGTTATTGTTATTATTATTATTTGGACCCAGTGGAGACCACAGAGCCCCCACCTCAGCAGGGCCCATTGTCTGATCCCCTGGGGCGCCCCCTCAGCCTCTAGCTTGGATTGGGGGAGTGTTTCCTGCAGCCGCACCGTGGGCTGGAGTTCAGTTCCACTCTCTTCTCCATCTTCTCTCTGTATCATTCCGAGGCCCAGCGAGCGGCCTGTCTTGGGCTTCCCCGGGTCCCTGCTGACAGGGCTGCCCTCGACAGCCACATACTATAGTAACAGCAGCCAAAGAGAAGGGCATGGCCTCTCCCCGCCCTCCCAACCCAGGAACGAGGTTTGGCCCGAGCCCTGAAAATGCTGGGGCATCCCTTTGGCAAGGCCCCATCTTTGGGGGAGGGGGGCGGGCTGAGAAAGCAAGGAAGCCTGCTGCTGTCCTGTCTCTCCCAGGCCAGCTGGCCCCTGGGCCTCCTGGCCACAGCTGGAGCAAGAAGGCTGGATGTGTCAGGACCAAAAGCCTCCTGGCAAGACCCTCCCCACCATCGGACTCCCCCTCACCTGCTCACTGCGTCTGAGGATCCTACAACAGGTGACAAAGCCTCCAGGAAACACACTGCAGCTTGTCAGACTCTAAACCCAACCTGTTCCCCACCTGGATGGGGAGGGGAGACCCCACAAGCCAAGTCTGGAAATGGAGGCTGAGGATTTGGGCTACAGTCGAACTGATCCCATAACCTCTGTCTGCGCCTGGGCTGCTGAGGGCTGGGAAATTTCCTGAGGCTCTGGGCCTCAGACTGTCCCTGTATCAGCTGGGTCGGGTCAGGTCCAGGTTGAAAGCTATGTGGGTATGAAGGTCTAAGTAGATTTGTGCTGGGCTGTTAGCTGGAAGCCTCCAAGTCCCACCCACGTATCCCTAGGAAAGCCCAGCTCTTTATCTGCGTTGCTAGGATGACCCTGTTCTGGACAGGTCCTGACTTAGGGTATTTTCTTCCCAGAGTGGACCCCAACAGTGTGTCCTGTGAGACTTGGGGCTTGTAGTCATCACTGTCTTCTGTGCCCACACAGCGCACCAGAATCCTGTGTGCACGCACATCACGCACACACGTGTACCTGCTTGCCCACGTGTGGGCACTCATCACCTCTAAACTGGGCATGCCCAAGGGTCAAGTTGTGGCCTCGTTTGGCAGCAGCTTCCGCCTTCTTCTGCCTGGACTCTTGCAGCCCAGGCGGAGGAAGCCGCCTTCCACGTGGCTTCCCAAGAACCGCTCAGATAATGAGAGGAAATGCAGTCACCAGCTTACAAAAGGCTGGCGGCTCCGCCGCGACTCCAGGCCACCACTCCCTGACCCCACTCTCTATCTCTGCAGGCCCCCTCAGCTGCCAGCCCGTGGATGCCATTTGAGATGTCCCCTTTCTGTTGCTGGGGCCTGCCCGCAGCTCTTCTTGCTGTGCTCTTCTGCCCAGGTGAGCCAGTGCCTGGGGTTCCTGACTGGGCCTGTGCCAGCCCAGAGGGTGGGCTGCCCGCTCCCCCGGCTTTAGGGGCGGGGTGCTAACCCTGAAGTCTCGGAGGCTTTGACATAGTGGCCCCAGCCATGGGCACAGGATGGTATGGACACCTGGGAGCAGGTGAGGGTCCTGGCCTTTGGGACACCAGGTTGAATAGCCCCACAGCTTCATGGTGTGGATGTGGCAGGTCATGGAGACTAAATGGTGGGCTGAGTAGGGGCCTCAGGAGGTGAAGGGTGCTGGGGTTCAAGAGAAGGGGAAGGCACTCCCGGCCTAGCTGGTCTTCAGATGCTGCTTAGGGGACAGAAGAGGGCAGCAGAGGGCCTCACCTTCTGGCTCGCCTCAGAGCGAAAGTGAAAGCCCTGCCAGTGGGTCAAGGGGACGGTGAGGGGAAATACCACCAGGTGCCACGCACCCCGTTTTGCACAACCTGCCAGATGCTTTTAAAGTGCCATCTCATTGAACCTTCACAACAGCTTTGGGACAGGAATTACTAGCCCATTTCACAGATGAAGAAACGGAGGCTCAGAGCTGGCACACGGTGAACTCAGGATTCAAATCCAGCTCCATGTACCTGCAAAGCCCGTCTCTTGCCACTTCATTATGTTCTACCATCTGGGGGCTGCGTGGGGCATGTGGGCATGGTGCTAGCACAGGACCCAGGCTGGGCCCAGCTGGTTGGGATCGAGGACCTTCCTGGTCGTTGCTGAGAGAGAGGTGAGTGCTGAGGGCTCAGTCTCCATGCATCAAATGCTTCCTGAGTCTGTCACACACAGGACAGTGGGGGACAGGGTCCTGCCTTCTAGAAGCTCTAAAATGGCGAAGGGAGAGTCCGTCGGAGTGTGAATCACTGGGACACTCCCGGGCCATGGGCAGGGTGGTCCCATTTCCTTTCTGACCTGCTTCCCCTGCATTTTTCCTCGCTGAGCTAGAGCATCCTGACACCTCGCTCTTCTGCAGGCAGACACACACACCCTCTCCCGACCCAGGGCGTCTCCTAGAAATACTCCCCCAGATATCGGCAGGGCTCACCCCCACCTCCCTCATGTCTTTGTTCAGATGTTGTTATTTCGGTGAGGCCTGTGCTAAAGTGCCCCTCCCTCCCCACACACACACACACACACACACACACACACACACACACACACCCCTGTTTCCTTTCCCAGGCGCTTACCACCATCCAATGGGCGGGGTGTTTGTTTGTTGTTGTCTTTTTCTTCACTAGAATGTGAGCTCTGTAAAGGCAGGATTTGGTCTGCTCTGCTCACTTCCGAAGAGCCTAGAACAGTACCGGGCACAACGCGGGCGGGCGTTCAAACCGTATTTGAGGAAGAAAGGAGAGGAGGGAGGGATGGGTTGAACCCTGGGCCACAGGAGCTCCGAAGACACAGTCCACCTCCATCTCAGAGAGGCCTTGGTGGAGGAGGGAGGGCACACTGGGGCCTTGAAGGTGGAATGGGGTCCCCCTCCGTGGAGAGAGAAGTGCGTGAGGAAGACGAATCTGCCTGGAGGTGACAGGCTGGAGGAGGGGCACCCAGAGGCAGGGGGACAGCCCACGAGGCCTGAACAAGGGTCAAGGGTCTAGGAGCAGAGGGACCATCCCTGGCCTTTCTTCTTTGGCCCCGCCCCCTCGATCAGAGTGGGCAGCTCCACCGGGCAGGACAGCGGGGACATCTGCTGCCCAGAGTTTCTGGTCTTCCAGGGTCTGGCGAGGAGGCGTTCGAGGTCTACATGTGGCCAGAGCAGCTGGTGGTGAAGCACGGAGGGTCCTCTAAGATCAACTGCAGCACCAGCTGTCTGCAGCCCACTATCAGCGGTTTGGAGACCACCCTAAGCAAGACTCTGCTGGACAAGCAGCCTCAGTGGGAGCTCTACGAGGTCTTCAACGTCTCCACGGACACGGTCGTATATTGCCACTTCACCTGCTCTGGGAGGCAGGTGCAGAGGAATGCCAGCATCACCGTGTTCTGTGAGTGCCTCTCGCTCGGCCCTCCTCCCCCAGCGCAGCGCCTGCTCCTGGGTGCTCTGCCCCTCCCTGGGCTGCTGGGGTGGCAAGGAGCAGGACCGAGGCCCTGGGCTCAGGGTCTGCTCCCACCCTTCGCTGGCCTCCGTGGGCCTGTGGCAACCCGCCTTTGAGGCTTGCTCCGAAGAGGGCGATCGCAGTGCTCACAGCCTCCTCCCAGCTCAGCAGCAGCCCCGTCCGGGGAACACCCCGTATCCCACGACAAGCGGTGGGGGCACCATCAGGAGGGCGGCACGCTCTCCAGGGGAGGTTGAGGAGTCCCCAGGTGCTTTTCTCTTCCCTTGAGGGCCCTCGGCAAATGTGAGACCATCACACACACGCCTGCCCATAGCCACGGAGGCCTGGAGAGGCCGGGATTCTCCCAACATCTCGGCACTAAGGGTGCTGCTGGGATCCTCCCCATTAACGGATCAAATAAATGATGCCCTCGATCCAACATCCTATCCTGGTGTGATTGGGGTGAGATGTCTGGCTCAGAGGGAAATGCAGGCCGCACCCAGGGCTCCGTTGGATAAGGGATTGAGGGGGCCGTGAACCTGACCCTGAGGATGAAGGCAGGTCTGACTTTGGCCCCCACCTGTTAAGGGAGAACTCACAGCTCATGCCCAGTTCCAGTGAGCACTCCCTTCTAAGTCTCTCTGAACATAAGTGCCCAACTGTTTAGTTTTTAAAATTCTGGAGAGGAAGGAGACAGATGCAAACATGTACATCTTTCTAGTTGGCTGCACAGTCTCTGACCCTCTCTTTGGAGACACCTAACCTCCATTCTTGTCCACGGCAGAACCCGTCACGTTCGTAAAACTACCACCCGGCACACCCTTCACCCTGAACGGCCTCCTTCTTCCTCTCTTACACTCTGGAGCAGGCCAGGCCCCAGCCTCCGCAAGTCCAGCCGGGAACCTGAGCACACGGTGCTGATAGGGGGTGCTCTTGGCTGGGTGGGCCCGCTGGGACCGTGCCCCCAACCTCCCCACTTTCTCCCCTGCAGACCCCCCAGAGCAAGTGCTGCTGAAGCTGCAGCCCACTTGGGTGACTGTGGGCAAAGTCTTCACCATGGAGTGCAGGGTGCCGGCGGTGGCACCCCTTGAGAACCTCACCCTCACCTTGTTCCGTGGCCAGGAGCCCCTGCACATGCAGAAATTTGAGGGGGAAACAGCTGCCCCCCAAGAAGCCATGATCACACACAACAGCACGGCTCACAAGGAAGACGGTCGCCACAACTTCTCCTGCCGGGCTGAGCTGGACCTGAAAACTCGTGGTGGGGGTTTGATCCGAAAAACCTCAGAGCCCCAGGTGCTTGAGATCCATGGTGAGGAGGCCCCGGCCTGCCCCGGAGAGCGGGAGGGCAGGGCCTTCACGTTAGGCCCTGAGGGAAGTCAGAGCCTCAGCCCACTCTCTGCCAGCTCGAGGGGTAGGCAACAGGGGCCCCACACTGGGTCCTGAGAGGGGTCCCTCTTACGTTCCCTCCTCCCTGAAGCTCTCTCCAAGCCCCAGAGTGGACCTGGACTAGTTGCTTGGCCGTTAGTGAGCTGTGTGACCTTGACCAAGTCAACCTCCTCTCTCTGGGTCCTCTCTACAATGAAAAGTTTGACCTAACCAGGTCTTCTAGAACTCCGCTGTTCTTTGATTCTTTTTGTTATTGTTGATCCTCACCTGAGGATATTTTCCAATGATTTTAGAAAGAGTGGGAGAGAGGGAGGGAAGGGGACAGAGAGAGAGAAACATTGATGTGAGAGAGACACATTTATTGGTTGCCTCCCGCACGCACACCACAACCCGACCGGGAATCAAACCCACGACCCTTCCCTGCTCGCCTACACCAGCCAGGGCGGTTCTGTGACTCTTGATGGCAGGTGTTCCCTGTCTTTAGCGAGTTTGGTAGAAACTCACTCGGCTCTGCCCAGGGAGGGGCTGGCGTGCACTGTCCAGACCATGGTGCCCAGAGCCCACAGGCTGCCCTCACAGCCTCACCGAGGCCTGGCTGGTAGCCCAGACCCCAGCTCACCTTTCCCCTAGTTAGTACACCATCTGTCACTCGTCTCTGTGACCCGGGTGACTGCAGGATGGATGAGGGTGGACCTCACTCCCCCTTGGGCCCTGGCACCTAGGACCAGAGCACTTCTTTTTTTTTAATCTTTATTGTTGAAAGTGTTACGTGTCTCCTTTTTCCCCCATCGACGCTCTTCAGCCCCCTCTCTCCGCCCGCCCCCCCAACCCTCACCACCCCACTGTCTGCGTCCACGGGTTATGCATATGTGCACACAGGCCCGGAGGCCTTCTCAGACCACTGCCCTCTCCCCTAGAGCCCATGCCGGACAACCAGATGGTCATCATCATCGCCGTTGTGTCGGTGCTGCTGCTGCTGTTTGTGGCGTCCGTCCTGCTGTGCTTTGTCTTCGGCCAGCAGTGGCACCAGAGGCGGAGCGGCAATTACGGGGTACAAGCCGCGTGGAGGAGGCTGAGACGCTCCTACCGGGCATAGCCTGCGTGGGGTCGTGGCCCCGGCCCCGGCAGCCACTGGAACTCAGTGTGGCTCTCAGCGATATGGCCAGGCCACGGCAGGAGGACAGTGACAAGCCGCAGAGGACCTGGGGGGCGTTTCCTTTTCTAGTCTGAATACAAACGCCTGGACCTAACCCTGTGCCTCGCGTCTCCTCCTGGGAGAGTACTCAGCGGCCAGGAAGGTGACGCATCGGGCCGACACTTCTCTCCCTAGAAGCCTCCTCAGTGTCCCTCCACCCTCTGCTTCACAGAGGCCTCGGGCCAGCCCAGCCCTGGGGCGCCCCCATGCTGACCAGCCTCAGCACCGGGCACCCACCCTCATCGGCCAAGTGACAAGAGCCTCCTCGGTGGGGTTGGGGCGGTGTGCCCTGGCCTGGCCGGGCAGAGACACTCTGTTCCCACACGGCCCTCGGGAACTGGGGCCACTCCCTGTCGGAGCAGGACACGGCCACAGAGCCAACTTCCTGTTGGTGGAGTGGAGGGTGGGGCCCCCAGGGATCTGGCGCAGCTCCAGGACCCTCCCCGTCAGGATTCTTTTGCATCTTGGCCTTTACAGAGCTGTGGACAACAAAACCAGTCTTCTCTGGCCTCCTGCTCCATTATTAGGCCAAGCGGAGACCCCGCAGCCCTGGCCTTCCCAGAGAGAGGGGTGAGGGACTGAGGTCTGGGGGGGCTCTGGTTCCCAGCCTCCCCCTCGCCCGGGAAGCAAACAGTGGGGCAGAGGTGGGTGTTCACGTGGGTCGAGGGCCTTGAACAGTGAAGAACCTAATGAGCTTACTCCAGAGAAGAGAGGGGCTGGCTCAAGGTCTTAATGGGAAGGAGAGGAGACTGATTCACCCTGGAGGGGAGGGCCCGGTTGGGGTTAGGCAGAGAAGGGCTGTCAGGTGTGGCTGTGAGCACCAGAGGGGCCCTCGGGGGGCTGTATCCAGCCTCGCAGTGCAGCTGGTGTGGGTCCCTGGGCCAGCGTCTGTCTTCATAGTAAGCTCTCAGCGTCATAGTAATCTGGGTGGGGGGAGACAGCACCCTCATCTTGACTCCCTCCTGCCTCAGTGGACCCCAAGGAGGGAAAGGGAAGGGGACAGGCCAGTTGCCTGCAGCAGTGACAGTACCCCCACCCTCAGGGGAAGACGACCCCCCTAGCCTCCTGACCCATCCCTAGGCCTGGCGCCTGCTGCCCACACCCCCTGCCCCTACCTGAAGCCGGGGGTACATCCGCACCCACAGTCCCTGTGGCACTGGGGGGTGGGGGTGGGGGCACGGCTCTCCTGAGATGGGGATGAGAAAAGAAATGCCCCATCAGAAGTGACCTCTGCGGTTTGACCCACAGCGATCTCCACCCGCCCCAGCCCCAAGGCAGCTCCTCCAGCCCAGCCAGAGCAGGGTCTCGCCTCACTTACACCCCCCTTTTCCTGGCAGGAGGGCGCTGCTGGATCCTGGGTGCATCCTGCCAGGGGGGCTGGTGTGGCGGAGGGGGAAGGAAAGGCGCTGGCCAGGGAGGCTGGAGGCCCAGAGCGGGCGTTGGGCAGGGCAGGTAGTGGTGGTGGAACACCAGAGGCCCTTCCTCCTGGGCTTCCAGCTCCTCTTCCTCCTCACTCTCCTCCTTCAGACCCTCCATGTGGACCTGGGGGTTGCGAGAGAGTGGGGGGGGGGGCGGGGGGGGGGGAGGTGACACAGGGTCAGGCTCTCCCCACCCCCACTCCTCCGTGCCTCGAAATTATTTTTCCAGATCTGCATCATCAACTGGTTCTTGGTATTTGCTACATGTAAGCAGGCACTTTGGAGACATTTTGCAGGTGGGAACCTGAGGCTTGAAGAGCCCGAGCCGCTGGTCGAGGTCACCCAGCTAATGAGAGGCGAGCAGGGACTGGAAGAATCCAGGTTTGACTCCACAGCTGGGGAGGGGGCCAGGAAGCTGCCCCTGGCCTGCCCCAGGCCCTGGAGCCACTCCTCCCAGGGCCGCTGGAGGGCTCTGCCAGCCTGGGTGGTGGACACACCCTCACCTCCAACCATCAAGACCCCATGTGGCTGTCAAGGGCTGGATCCAAGCAGTGATGGCGAACCTATGACACGCGTGTCAGAGGTGACAAGTGAACTCATTTTTTTGGTTGATCTTTCTTTGTTAAATGGCATTTAAATATATAAAATAAATATCAAAAATATAAGTCTTTGTTTTACTATGGTTGCAAATATCAAAAAATTTCTATATGTGACACGGCACCAGAGTTAAGTTAGGGTTTTTCAAAATGCTGACACGCCGAGCTTAACAGGTTCGCCATTACTGTTCTAAGGCCACCTGCCCCTCCATGGAGCCTTTCCTCATGCCCAGCCAGGGGGGCACGCAGGCAGGGCACCCCTCCTGTGCCGGCACAGCCAAAGTTGCCTGGTGTTCATAGTCATTCATTTATTCATTGGCTTCTCAGCAAACATCAGCCCCTAAGTACCAGGCGCCTGCAGGTCCAGGTGCGATGGCGCCTGTCCTCCTGGACCTGCAGCCCAGGGAGGGACACACTGCAGGGATGTCTGCTTCAAAACAAGGCCTGCGTGGTCTGGATTAGGGACCCCCAGCCCCACCCCCCAGCCTCCCACCTGCGGGCCAGAGAAGGCGGGCCAGGGGCTGAGCACTGCTGCCACCAGGCGACCCAGGATCAGCTGGTGCATCTGTGCGTTCTGCAGCAGCATCAGCTCCATCACGTCTAGGGAACGGAGAGGTTCAGCAGGTTCAGCAGGCAGGCCCCCAGCTCCCTGCCCCCACCCCAGCCCCCTGCCCCTACCCCACCCCGCCCCCTGCCCCACCCCGGCCCCCTGCCCCACCCCAGCCCCCTGCCCTGCCCCCACCCTGGCCCCCTGCCCCTCCCCAGCCCCCTGCCCCCACCAGGGCCTTTTCCCCGGACACCCGGCCCTGGGGCGCAGAAGCGGGTGGTGGTGCAGCCTCAGTGCCCAGACAGGTGCGGGTAGAGGGAGGCACAGGGCAGGAGGGAGCCCGGAGTCTCACCTTCCTTCACACGTCCTGGCTGCGGGGGTGGCGGTGGGACGGCCCATGGGAAGGGCTGCAGAACCCTCACCCAGGGCTGGGGAAAGGGGTGACTCAGCCAGGCTAAGAGGAGAAGGGATTGGGGATCCAACCCTTCCCACCCCCACCCCCACCCCGCGCCCCAGTTGCCTCCCTAACCCCTCAGCACCCCTTTGGCCTCCCCGCTCCCTGCCAAGTCTCTTCCTCTCCAGCTGGGTCTCTCTCCTCATCTCACCCCCCCCCCCCCCCCCCGCCAGTTCTCACCCCTCCCCAGCCCGCCCACCCCGTGACCGCTCCCCAACTCTGCCACCGCCCGCAGGCAGGCCTCGCGGGAAAGGCAGGCTCTGCTCCCTGCTCAGCCTCACCACGGGGGCTGCCCTTTGCGGTGCGGGATGACCCCAGCTCCCTCCAGGCCCAGAGGCCATGGCCGGCTTCCTCCGGTCAGGGTTACCTTGGTGACGCGACGCCAAAGTCTCCTCCCTGGCAACCGCAGGTCCCGCCCCACCCGCTCGGGACTCCTGGGGCGTTTGCCCTAAGTCGCTGCCTTCAGCTCTCCTTTCTCCACCTCCAAGGACGTGGGGTTCCCAGGACGCCCCCCACCCCCCGAAGAGGCCTGGATGTCCACCCCCAAACCCCCTGCGCCGGGGCTGGGTATCACGCCGTATTCCTCCCTGTAACTCCAGACCCCCACACACCCCAGCCCCTGACCTGGGGGCTTGTGTTTGGTGAGTGAATGAGTGAGCGGCCGGAGAGGTGGCCCTAACTCAAGACACTTGGTTTTCAGGCCCCAAAACTCCAATGACCAGATGATGAGTTAAGCAGGAGTAGAGAGTTCTGTAGGATCCGCCAGGGGCGAGGGGAGGGGGCGTGAGGTGGGCAGAGGATCTGCTGTCTGTCTCTCTGAGTCAGAGGGGCATCCTTGGGCCAAGGGTGGTTTCTGGAGCAGACCATGGAAGGAAACATCAACCAAGTCCACGGAAAAGGCTGGCCCCTGGCCAGAAACAGGTGGCTGGCCCCTGGCCCACCCCCACTCCCACCTCCCCACCCTCTTCCCCTTTAGCTGTCTGCCCCCTGCTCCTTGGCCAAGGCGGAGAAGCTGGGCGTTCAGCAGCAGCAGGCCCATTATTGTCCCTCCTCCTGGAAAAATTACCAAAGCAGGCATTCTTTGACAGGAAGTCACCAAGGCCTTCTTTGCTCAAGAACAGGTGAGAGGAAAGATCTATTTCGGTAGCTGTGAACTTCGTAAGATAGGCCCCGAGCAGCAGTCAAGGAAAATCAGGACAGGAAGCTGGGATTAGCACCCCGTGCATCGCCCTGCCCCCACCCGCCACGTCTCTTCAGCAGCCTTTCCCGGCAGTCCTGGCGTCTAAAATCAGAAAGACCGGTTCCACCTCCTCCTCTGAGCCTCAGTCCCTGTCTCCAGGGGAGGGGGGAGGTCTGTGGACAGCGCATTTGCTGCCCTTGTGGGTCTAATGCAGCGGTTCTCAACCTGTGGGTCGCGACCCCTTTGGGGGTCGAACGACCCTTTCACAGGGGCCGCCTAAATACATCCTGCATATCAGATATTTACATTACGATTCATAACAGTAGCAACATTACAGTTATGAAGTAGCAATGAAAATAATTTTATGGTTGGGGGGTCACAACATGAGGAACTGTATTTAAGGGTCGCGGCATTAGGAAGGTTGAGAACCACTGCTCTAATGACTTCAACAGCCACCAACAAACAGAGATGGGACACTGAGGTCACAGGCCCGGGGAGTGGGAGGGCACCTTTCCCGTTCCACCCTCTTCCAGGGAGAAAGACACACCTGTCCTTGAGCTCACCATCAGCTGCCTCCACCGAGGAGGTGCCTGTGTGTGCAAGGCGCCTCCTGAACACGGGGACACCGTAGTGTAGCCTCCTGGTTCAGCGCTGTTGGGAGTGAAGACCCACCCATGAAAAGAGCGAAGATACAAGACTGTGCAAAGTCGCCGTGGATCTTGAAGAGAGAGGACTCCTCACTGAGGGATGAGTTCTGAGGGAGGGGAGGCCCTCTGTGGGTGGAGAGGACACCCCAAGCTGGGGCACTGCCCGAGCAGAGGTGCAGGTGCAGGGTGTGGACAGGGCCTTCGATGATCCAGTGAGTCAAACTGTCTGGCTGAGCTGGAGGAGCTGGGCAGCGGGAGGCCCCAGCAGCCCAGGCAGACACAGGTCAGACTCGAAGGCCTGGCTATGGAATTTGGGATTCACCCTGTGGGTAATGGAGAGCTCTTGGTGGGATGTGAGCACGAGAGAAATAAGGGGGCGACACGCACACAGCCAGGTTTTAGGAGGATTCATCGGGTTCCTCACATCTTTGCTTCTGTCAACCAGGATTAGAGAGAACAAGTGTCCGATGGGGTATCTTCCCAGCGGAACACAATGACAATGTTGGTAGAGAACAAGCATGTCAAACTCCTGGCCCAGCGGCCGCCTGCGGCCCACAACGAATATTTTTGTGGCCCAGCCAATGTGACGGTATGTAAGAAATGTTTTAATGAAAATTCCGTAACTTAATTTTTACAACATCCTGTTATTCATAATTATTAATAACGAACTACAACGTTCGCTAATGACTGATTACTATCATCGTGTTGCATTCATTTCCCTTACGCACCTTACCCACAGGTGCACCATTTCTCTCCACTAATACTAGCCGCGAATATTTTAGCAGCCGATCGCCACGTCAACAGTCTTGGACTGACTTGTTTGGTGTGCGCAACAGGAAATACTTCGCTTTCAGAGAACAAGAAAAATAGGTTTATTTGCCTTACGCGTATTCATTTGTGCAGTTATTCAGTGTCTGGTAAGTTAATGTTGAAGAAAAAATATTAATTTTTATTAAAATGTTCTATTATTTCGTGTTAACAATGACTCATTTATTTCAGCCCTTTGTATTCACATGTCTCTATCAAAATAAACCTACATTTCTATGAAAATTGAAGCTTTTGGTTTTTTTGCGGCCCACATACACTTAAACCTTGTTTATTTGGCCCATGTTAGCCTTTGAGTTTGACATGCTTTGTACAGAATGTACCCATAGGGTGTCCCAAAGAAGTGTGTACACACTTTGAATAATTATTAATTCCAATGGTTCGTTCTTTTGAGATTTAACCCATTGGAAATAACTATTCAAAGTGTGTATACATTTTTGGGAGACACCCTGTATTAATGTGGAATGATGTCCAAAAGAGCTGAGAAAACAATCAATAAGCATAGTAAGATCTTATTTCTATTTTTAAGATCACAGGTATATATGTGTGCTTGTGTGTGTGTGTGTGCGCTTGTGTGTGTGCTTGTGTGTGTGTGCTTGTGTGTGTGTGTGTGTGCAGAGAGAGGGAGGCAAGGAGGAAGGAGGAGAGGAAGGAAAAAAGAGAAACAGAAAAGATACAGAGACAGGGAGGGAGGCAGGAAGAGAGAGAAACTACAGAGTTGCTGTCAGGCCTGACCACACCTCCCAGCCTCCCCCAGGGGCTCCTGCAATTGATCCCTGCATTCATCTACCGTCTCCACCTGGGGCATTTTCTGGCCCCAGGGAGGCAGTCCTGAGGCTGTCCCAGGAGCAACCCTGAAGCATGAAGGGACAGGAGTTGATGGTCAGCTCCGCAGCCTCCTGGCCTCCGTGGGGCAACTCTGAGGGGTCATCCCCACCGTTTCTCAGCGCTCCCCGTGGCCTCGCGCCCCAGTGGTCCCGGTGACAGCCCGCTCACAAACGCACAGCCTACTGGCTTTTCTCTTCTTCCCACTTCTCCACTCCCTCACTGTGCTTCCTGAGATTTCCTTCCAAAGAAACGGCGTACCCCCAAATCCAGGCCTTTGGGGGATCCAAACTGAGACACCAGCCCCCACTCTCTCCCTGTCTGCCCCCAGGCTGCTGAAAACTCCAGGCAAAAGCTATCCTAGTAGCTCTAGGACAAATGTGTGTTTGGTGAAGTGAAACACTGCAGTAAACGTTAAAGAAAATTGGTCTAGGAATATAGTGGTCAGTGAATTAAGCTGAGGCAAACTGGAGGCAGGGAGGCCAGCAAGGAGGGAGGCCATCACCCTCCCCCCTCTAAAGGGAGCCCAGAGCAGGCTGGAGGTGACTGGTTCAATACCTTCGATAGAAGATGACCCGTTAACCCTACGCGAATCGTGTGCTTTGGAAGACAGGGCTGAACTAAAACGATCCTGCGTCTATTCGATCGGAGTTCTCGGTCAGAGGGCACGGAAGCATTTGCTATTTGAAGAAAGGAAACGCCGTGCGTCTCTCTGCCGGAGCCATTTTGCTTGTAGAAGATCTAGCATCGGTCCGGTCCGGGGGGAGCGGTGTGAGCAGCTACTGGCTCCGCCTGCTATTCTTTCCTGTGAGCCTGGACCACTCCACCTACTTCCTTTTCACTTGTTTGTTTTTTTGTTTTGGCGGATTTTGTTTGTAGTCTCCCAAGATAATATGTACCCAAAGTCCTCCCTGTTGCCTTGGTAAAAATCTATTCCTGGGACTAAGCTAAACATGGAAAAAGATCGCTCATCAAATGTGTTCATCGCAGCATTATTCTTAAGAATTGAACATTGAATGTTACCCCGTATCTACTAATAGGGGAATGTGTGTGTAAAATCAAGGGGATTTATGGGACTAGAAAAAAGAGCTCCCGCCTTACTCCCCCAGAAAAGGAGAGAAAAGGGCCGCGCCTAAGCATTCCCGTGGAAACTTCCCTGCTTCTTTCGGTACCAGTGAGGACGCAGCCAGCAGAGAGATGACCCAGCTGGGGGCCCTTTTCTTGGGCTCAGTCCCTCAAGGAGCTAGACTGGAAGGAGCTAGAGCCAGGGGTGGGCAAACTTTTTGACTCGAGGGCCACAATGGGTTCTTAAACTGGACGGGAGGGCCGGAACAAAAGCATGGATGGAGTGTTTGTGTGAACTAATATAAATTCAAAGTAAACATCATTACATAAAAGGGTACGGTCTTTTATTTCAATAGTTTTATTCATTTCAAATGGGCCGGATTCGGCCCGAGGGCCGTAGTTTGCCCACGGCTGGTATATGGGGTTTTGTCCAACAGGCCCTGGGGGCACTTCTGGGTCCAGAGAAGCACACAGATCGCATCAGTAGGATGCCTGTGATGAGGACCGGTCTCAAAGTCCGTCCGCTGCCTTGGAATTGGGGTGCCAGCGACCATGGGGAGCACCTCCTGAAGCTCCCAGAAAATCACCCTGACCAGATGACTCAGGGGAGAAACTGACTGGTCGGGCTGGGGTTTGGGGCTGGGACAGGGCACGATGAGGCCAGTTCCTGTGAGTCAGGGTGGGATAGTTTAACTGGTTTGGTGTCTCCAGGCGCCTTCTCCCTCATCGCTCCCTCTCCGTGCTGGTCTCACTCCCTCCTCCTCAGGCAGATGGGTGGCACACCCCAGGCACCTTCAGACTTTCTCCAGTGACTCTAGACACACTTAGAGGGTCCTGAGCAGAGAGAGATTACTTTTAAAAAATATATATTTTCTATTGATTTCAGAGAGGAAGGGAGAGGGAGAGAGAGAGAGAAAGAAACATCAGTGATGAGAGAGAACCATTGATCGGCTGCCTCCTGCACGCCCCACTCTGGG